TCCATGTTTTGTATGTCAGACAATTTAGTTACCTTAAAAAGTCCACTGCTAATCAATTGTGTTGTCTTAAGAACTATCCATGTTTTGTATGGTGACTATCTTGTTTTTTCTATGAGAGTCTTTGTTAATTGCTTATGTTGTCTTAAGAACTCGTCATATTTTGTATGCTGATATGTTGTTATTACCTTATTAGTTATGACTCTATTGGGCTTATTTATCTAGTTCACATCACCATTATCTATTATCTTTTGTTGTGATGGGAAATTTACATATGAGACTAGCATTTGTAATGGTGTAGTGTATTTTCAGAGTAGCATCAAAGGTATAAATCGAATAGCTTGTTTGATGTATACACCGGAATATGGGATTTGGTTCAATTTGCATTTATTTTCAGATTCAACACCCTTAAGCTTATGTTTCTTGTTGCAAAGGCTTAAGTTTTAGCATTTATTTGAACTTCATGCACTCAAAGAAAGCAACCAAAATCTCAAGTATGGTTTGATGTTTTTTTTGCTGATATATTCTCTATAATGTCCTATGATCATCAGTTGAGGCTATTTTCAATATGATGCTTATTTTACAAAATATATCCTCTTTATATTATTTCAGTTTGTTGATCATGCCTTTTAATTTCTGCAGCATGATAGATCATACATGAACACCTTTGAAGATTAAGTGGATGCATATTTGGCATATCTACAGGTAGGCTTTGTTAGTTTGTTAAGGATTCACTTATAATCCTCTACTTGGAAGTTTACACAAGGGTTATGCAAGTGTGACCGGTAGCTTTTGATTGGGGGAGAGCTTTGATGTGTGCATGGCCTCGCTTAATGTAGCTGAAGGTTTTGTTGGAATTATTGGCATTGATCGTTTGCCCTTGATTTCATTTGACATAATGTGTAGGACTTGACACTAGATTTATTGACAAAGCTTCCTGTTGACTATACATTTGAGATCACCTTAGCAGACTTGATAGTAAGTTTTGGGGTTTGAAAATAGATTACATAACTCAGTTTTAGGAGTCAGCTTTGGTTTGTGTTTAAGCTACATTTGTGCTTCGTTGCTTGTGTTCTCACAAGATGATTCACTGCAAGCAGTGTGGTCAAATGGTGAAGGTGAAAGGAAGCTTGTTAGGTAAATATGATACAGAACGCAGAAAAGGAGACACTCATTGAGGAGAAATCTGCTTCTATTAACAAATTGGTGGCAAAGAATGAACTAGGGCTTGAAGCTTAACTAAAAGGTAATAAAATTTATAATTTTATTCCATGGCGCTAAAAAATATTTTAACAACCGTCTAATATATGATTGATATGTTTCTTATAACTGATCACTCTCTTATGATTCAATTTAAATTTGTAAATATATGTGTATGACATTTATTTTATATATATATGTAAATAAATAAATGTGTATGCCTTTCCCTTCAAATGCATGTGCTAGAATACGAATGCAAATCAAATAGTGGCCTCGGTTTTTGGCTTCCAAGGTAGAATGTTTTGATGCTGATAATTGTTATGCTACTGCAGTTCTTGTTTATTTTGCTTCATCTGACTTTGCTTTGGTTTGTTCAGGTGGGATGAAGTCAAGACTGACGGAGATGAATCATCTCCTTATGCTGATTGCTGCTATGCCCCTGCTGCATGCTGCTATGCTCCTGTAGTCCTGCTGTTGTTTTGCTCTACGCTACTGCTGTTCTACTGCTTATCTGCTATACTTTTTTTTTTTTTTCTTTTTGAATTAAAATTGTAATATTGCAGTTTTGAATTAATGAAAATTATAAGTTTATATATATGTTAGTGTTTATGTGTCAATTTAAATGGAAAAAATGCAAAAATAAAATGTTTTACGCATTATCGGTGCGAATAACTTTTTTTTTTAAAAATTTTGAAGCCATTATTGGCACCGGTTAATCGGTGCGAAAATTTTTATTACCACCGGTTTTGAATCGGTGCGAATAATATCACTTATTCGCACCCCTCAAATCTAAACCAGTTCAAAACCGGTGCGAAAAACCGGTTTTAAACCGGCGCTCATTTCGTATTTTCTACTAGTGTTTTTTCTTAACAGCATTGAAGATTCAAAGCAAGAACAATGACTTTTGAAACCCTAATTTTTATTTTAGCAATTTGATTTTTAGTATTTGTGTAAAATTAAAAAGGGGATGAAGAAGAAAGACTGAATATCGAAAGAGGGAGGAAGAAAAAGGAGGGAAAATGAGGGAAAGACCATTTGTGGGCCCCACCATGATGTCATCTTTCAAAATGGTGGGAAGTTTTATCATTTTCACAAAATGTAGGTGGTAAATTTCAATAAAAAAAACTGTAGGTGGTTGTAGGGAATATTTCAAACATCAACTTTGAGCCCCACTGTGATCATGCACTTAAGCATGGTGGCATCCAAAGGGAAAGAAGCTAGAGCAAAAGAGTCGCCAACAAGTTTTAAGAACTTGTAAACCTTTCACGGGTGTGAAGATTACGCCCCTTTCATGATCACAGAAATCGCTAACTCCATAGTGGTCCTGAACCATGACTAGATATTCGGGGATGATGGTACGAATCCTACCTAAAAGAGATTGAACCCACCCTAAATAGGCCTCTACTTTATTCTTATGATATTCATGTGCGCTTTGCGATCAACATACAATCATTAGATTAGCCCTAAACCTGTTTAATCTATATTGGTTGATTATTAATGTACAAATAAATCTATTATTGGTGATCACTTGAATTAAAATCATATTAAACCTAGATCAAATTATTAATTATCTTATTAGGCGTGATTCAAGTACAACTTCCTCTTAAACCTGCAAGAAAGGGCGTGATCAAGCAATAACAATAAATCATAAAAAATCAAGCAATGTAATAATTAATGACACAACAAATAATCATCATCACAATAATCAATAATAAATAGCAATATATCATAATATCATCAATTGTATAATTAGCAAGATCCTAGGCATGATACTAAACGGAATAATAACAAAGCCCATCATGTCACTACATAATAAAGATTAAAGCTTTAGCCTAAACATGATACTAGAAACCAACACGATATTAGAAATATTAATTAACATCCTACATATGATATTAGGAATCAAAACTAGGAATCAAAATCAACATCCTAACATGATACTAGGAATTAAAATTATATTCTAAGCATGATTTCTATATCAAAGGAATAAATATTAGGGAGATCAAATTACTCACTTTGATGCCTCGTATCTCTTTTTATCAAAACAATACACACGTTAGTAACTTCAAGAAAGACTAAATCAAATAAGAATTGAAATATAGAATTGGGACCAAACCCTCAAAACTATCAACTTTTCACGTCGAGGTTAAAGGCAACTTCGAGAAGGGCTTGGAGTATTCAAGGCTCGTGAATGAGGAATGGTGTTTGATTAGGAAAAAGTATCAAAGGATGCTATGTGTGTTGGGATGTGTTTAGGCTAAGGCTAAGGTTAGGCTAGAAATCAAGAGAGAGAGATAGAATAAGCTTAGAGAGGGATTAAGATGATGATTGTCGGTGAATGAAAACGAAGGAAAACGACCCTATTTATAGGAAAAAAACGATGGGAAAAGATTAGAAAAAGATCACGATTCGGCTCGGAGTAAAACTGCTCGTATCGCCAAACGCCAGCTATATCGCGGCGCGATATAAGCATTGTCTAGCGATATTTTTTGAAAGATAGAATCCGAATGGAATCCGACTTTCAATCAAATTGGGTTAATCGTATTTCCGTACGTAGCCTAGTTTTATCAGAATTAAACCTATTAAAAAACAAGTGTTTTATCCGAAGTAAAATCCTTAAATTTTATCTTTTCAAAAACAGGATAAATTAGAACCTTCTAGAGGATTCTAGAAGCTAATAATAAATCCTAAGAGATTTAGGACTCAGAACAACCCTTTAGATAATTCTAGAAGCTTGTAATAAATCCTAATGGGATTAGGAATGAATTAAGGTTAATGAACCCTCCACATGATCATTGGGTTTGTAGGTAAGGCTTGTTTGGGCCTAGTTTAGTATTTTGGCCATAACCTTCTCGTTATAACTCGGATTTGGGCTTATAATATATCGTTGGAAAACTCTTTTCAAGCCCCATCCAACTACACAATAATTTGACCCAGATTATGGACCAAAATAAATTGGTTTGGACGTTTATAAAGGTGACACGAAATGAGTGATTTCAAGGGACACGAAATGAACTATTTTGAGTTAAAACATTTAAAAGAAAGATTAGAAATAGTCAAGACTTAGGGAAATTCACGAGGCTCTTCAACGCTTCACCTAACTCGATAATCAAAGATGTGAAAGGTACTTATCACTGGGTTTGGTTTTTGGGGAGACACAATCAGGTGTCTACAGTGGTAATTTCTAAAACAACAAAAATTGTAGGTGGTAATTGTCAAAAAAATCCTTAATCAAAAGTTGAGATTATATTGGACTGACGGAACAAAGTTCGGATTATTCAAGACAATTTTTCCAAGATTAAAAGTCAATATTCGAAAGAGAGGTTATTAAAGAATGAAATGGTTCTACAGGCAAATTCGAGGAATTACTGAGGAATAGCTCAATTGGTTAGAGATTCTCTCCCGATCGATTCTCATCATCCGCCATTGTAGCCCTCTAAAAAAAAAAAAAAAAAAAAAAAAAAAAAAAAATCGAGGAGTGGTCGGAGAGAATATTTTAATTTGGGGGTCAAATTATTGATGTTTTCAAAATCTTAATGAACCATGCTTCCATTCAAACAAAAAAAAAAAAAAAAAAAAAAAAAAAAAAGGAACCATGCTTTATTTTTGACATATTTTTAGGAAAATTTTACATATTTATTGCGTTTTTCACGTTATGCCCTTCTTTTTGGAAGTTACACATAATAACCCTCAAGTATAATTAGTAACTATACAGTAACCTTTTAGTTATCCCGCCGTTAACGAATTTCAACTTGTTGATTCAATTACCGTTAGTGGGCCCACTATCCACCTATTAATTTTTTTCTCTCGATTTGTGTTCCAAAAAAAATTCGTTTAAAGGTGTTAGGGGTCATATAAGAATTTATGGAACCAAATTGAGTTTGAATTTGGCAAAAAAATAATGTAAATTCATTATTTTACATATTGAGACATGTCTCAAATTACTTGTCATTATTTTCTTAGTAGCTGTAAAAAACTAAAAATTGTTCGTGCAAGGTTTTAGAATCATTTTATCAATTCCTCAAAAGAAGAACAAAAAAAAAAAAAACAAACCCGATTACCCGAGTGGTCCAAAATTTCAGTCCTTCCTTTTCCAGAACTTGCTGCGACATACTGTATTTCAGAGCAGAGGTAATGAAGTCAGTGGGGATTTGAAGACGACGAAGAAGAATAGTCCTGTTGCTAATTAGGAAGAAATGAGAAATTACCTGAGATTAGGGTTAGGGTTAGGATCTAGGAATTGGTCAAAAATGTCACCTCGCATACCAGCAGGTGTTGTTATTGGATCGAAGGATGTCGCTGCTGAGTATTTTCGGTTTTTCACAACTTCTGGTTTGTTTTCTCTTCTTCATATAATCAATCAGTAAACTAAACTTGCTGCTTATTATCTTGTTCATATTTAGCTCAGTCTTGTTAATTGGCAGAAAATCAGCCTCATTTATCAGCCGACATCATTCAAATTATGGAGCAAAGGTTGTCAGCTATTGAGCGAAGGAGTGCCTTGCTTCAGGATATCATCAATAAGGTAATTGCTAATTGCTCATCCTTTCTTTTGGATACACCTGCGTTTCTTATGGGAATTAGATTTTTCACAGACAGATTACTCGTGGAACTCGTCTCCTGATTGTTTTTTTAATTTTATAATTTTGGTCATGAATGAAGACAGCCTGATGCCTCACCAACCGAGTATGCGAGAGCCAATAAGGACTTTAGGAAACTCAGAAGTTCCGTGGACTTAATACATGACTTGAGAGCAAAGCAGAAGGTATATACCTTCTCCTTTTATTGACATTCCTATTGTGCAGAAACTAGGTTGTACATTAGAATACCATGTGCATTGTAAGTAGCTTATCGTTGGATAGTTCGATGTGTGTTGAATTATGGCTCAAAATGGAACATACTGCCAACTCAGATGTTTAAATGAATCATGTTGGTTGGCCAAAGGTGTGGCGCTTTTAAGTTTTGAAGGTGTTTCTTGATTCAGGTGACAGATGTGTTGCCCTCTAGTGTTGTAGTGTATTCTACTTCCTTCCCCGAGAGCTATATTTATTTTTTTAATTAATGTGATAATAAAATGTATCCTTCTGCAATTATTGGTTAGTACACCTGATGAACATAAAGGCTAAATTCAAAGAACATGAATATAAATCAATAAACTTAAGGGCTAAAACAAAAGAATATGAATCCTAAAAGTATATAAGGTTTTCTTTGTTTTTTGTTCCCCTCCGTATTAACTTGATAGTGCTGCACTGTTGCCTTGCTTCCATTTAGATGGCTTTAGCAGCTTTTCACCCATAAGTGATGCGTTAGTGTATACTCTATAGGATCATTTAATGTGCTCCGTAATTGGAATAAGAATTGAAAACATTGACCCATTTTGACATTTAAGGAGATTGATGGTCTCAAGTCACTCATGGCTGAGTGTGCTGATGAAAAAGATATGCTTAACATGGCATATGAGGAATTGGATCAGGCTGTTGAAGAGGAGAAAAGGCTGCAAATGTTGCTGCTGAAATCATTGCTTCCAAAGGATGATGCTGATGAAAGAGACAGCATCCTGGAGGTGAGAGCAGGTAGGTAACACACTTTCAATGTTTTTAGGACCTATTTTCTTAACCTGGACCTTATACAGGCTATTGAACTAGGTACTGGAGGCGAAGAAGCTTCTTTATTTGCTACGGAGATATTCAAAATGTCAGTTCTGGTCTTCTTATGACTTTGATTCAACCAATATGCTTGCAAAATGTGACACATTGGCACAACCATCTTTTGTGCTCATACTTTTGTTCGTGACACCTGACAGGTATGAGAGGTACTCACAGAAGAAGGGATGGAAATTCGAAGTTGTTTATATAACAGAGTCTGACCTTAAAGGATTCAAGGTAGGTCAGAAAACTTAAAATTTAGATTCACATTGATCGTGAGATCATTAAAATTATTATTATTATTATTTCAATTTCTTTAAGGTTTAGTGTGCACCGGAATCTGGATGAGTTATCGTTGAAATTATTTGATGTCATGGAGTATATGATCTAATGTGACTAACTTCCAGGAAGCTATTGGATTGATCTCAGGGGCTGGTGTGTATGGGAAGCTCAAATTTGAGAGCGGTATTCACAGAGTTCAGGTATGAACAATGCTGTGAGTAAAACCAAAAGATTCCAACGGTTTATAACCATCGTTGCCCGCCATCCTATTGTTTTCAGCGCGTTCCTGTAACCGAGAAGTCTGGCCGCACTCATACCAGTGCTGTGACTGTTGCCATCCTCCCTCAGGCTGATGAGGTACTCTGATGTATGGATAATTCCTTTGCACAGATTTTATCTTTAGAATCAATATTTTCTTGTTTTCTTCTTGTATACATCATTTTGAGGTCTTGATTTATTGTAGTCGTATCATTTTACTTTTGTTGAGATTTAGGCTAGGTTTAGTTCACCTTATTTTGCTTAGCTGATCTAATTTTAACTTATTTTTCTTGATATAATCTGATCGTCTTATTTGACTAAACATTGACCTTAAATGTATTAGGAAAAAAAAATAAAAACTCAAATGGGGTTTTATTAGATTTGTATTAATGTGTATTTTTTAATATGCAATTTTCATAATTTTTCATCACGGAATTAAAGATACTTATCAATGAAAAATCGCACTTAAAACAATAAAGTAGATATGAACTTACTTTTTCTAATCTGATTTGATCTGAACTTAAATAAGGTGAACAAAACATAGCCTTAGTGCTTTCCTGGATTGCAGGGTGTAATCTTAATGACACAATTTATTTTTTAATTTGTTTTGCAGGTGGATGTCCAATTGAGGAGCGAAGATTTGAGAATTGATACTTACCGATCTGGTGGCTCAGGTGGTCAGCATGCTAATACTACAAATAGTGCTGTGAGGATGACCCATATTCCGTCTGGTCTGACAGTGGCTATTCAAGATGAGAGGTCACAGCACATGGTAAGTGATAGCCTGTTGCTGTTCTTGTTGTATTGTTAATTTGTTATTATTGGAAATGTTGTGTTTGGCCCTTTTGAGCGTCTGTTGTTGGCCACTTATTTTAGACTTGAGTATTTTGTATGTCTAACATACTGTGAATACTTCCTTGAAAGTGGGCAAAGTCAATTGATGAACACATATATCTTTTGGATTGTAAAAAGGAAACAATGTAACTAGAAAAAGAAAGGAATGGATGGCAGAGATATTGACGAAACATGGATAAAGTCATGAAGGACAGGAGTTGGGAGATGAATAAAAGGTGACTCTCGCTGCTTTACCTGAAAGGGGCCAAATCTGACTACGGAATTGCCGAAGTGTACTAGGATTACTAGGTGATCTAGATCTCTACATAGTATAGTGCTTACGTTATGAGGGCTTCTGCAACTTTTTCCATGATAAATGGTTTTAAAGTAAAAATGAACTTTCGTTAGTTCCTGTTTGCACTTCCTAGCTTCATAAGAAAGTAGACTAGTTAGCTATATGATTCATTTATTGTGCAGGTGAATGAAGATGAGAGAGTGCAGGGTGAAGTTAGTGGGAGAGGCAGGTTTAGTACTATGGTTCACTTGCCCTATTAAAATGTGTTGGGCACTTGTCTCTTAGGCTCTTAAAGGCAATAGAGTTTTGCTCTGCATAGAAATTAAACTTGGGGTGTATATAGGGGCATGAGGAAACAAACATTGAAATCTCTTATGTCTATAAAGAAAATAGGCTCACAAAGGAATTTACATTGTTTTCTAGGAGAACATTCTCTTTTATGCTTATAAAGAATTGATGAATATGTTTTATACTAGATTAGTGGCTTCTGACCAGCTGGTTATATATTTTCGGTGATCCTTCTCCTGTTTTGGCTCATGTAGCCGACCCCTCTTGTGGGATTAAGGCTTTGATTGATTGATTGATCCTTCTCCAGTTGTTTCTGTTTCGATCTCCTATTTCTTTAATTGTTCCTTTCTTCCATCTACAAAGTACCTTTTTTTAGTTAGCTAGAAACACATTTTATGAAATCATAAAATATCTGGGCCATTACAATCTAATCCATTACTAATAAGTTTTGAAGAAGTTAAAAAACTTTTGAGGTATTACCGTGCTTCACATCGGTACCAAAAAAATAATAAAATATAATGCTGGACATGTATTGTTTTGTGAAACATTAGAGATAGTGTTATCTATTCTTTTCTATAATATTAGTCCTTGTTTGTTGAATAAATGTGTGCTTCTCTGTCTTGAGAAATAAAAGGTGTTGCCTTAATTTCTTAATACTATGTTTGAGTTTTGATGTTGCTCATTTGTTGTATCTTTGTTGACAAATATGTTACTGGAGTGGACTGCAATGAATTTGTTAAGAAATTCTTTTGAAAAAAAAAATGTATCAAGGATGTTAAGTAGACTATAGAACTTCAATTTTAATTAATATAAGTTTGCTTGCTTGTTTTTTCAAACATTTGGTTTTCGCTTCATCTACTCTGGAGTTGGACATACTGATGGTTGAACTTTAAGTCACATATCTAGAAATTGAAATATTAATTAGTAATTGCAGACAGTAAACCTCTCTTAATACGCTTTGACCAGTATGTAACGACCAATGTAACTGCTTTCTGGAAGTGATCTTGAAGGATGTACGAAACCAGCTTTTGGGATGATATGAAATTTCATTTGGAGACTTGAACAATGCTGGTGATGACCAGATTTGGGTGTTTTGATATTACAATCTTTAACTTTGTAAGGTCTAGATGCGAGTGTCTAACTCTTAATACTTGTATAATTCTAATAAGGTCTTATCTAGTGCTCATCGAGGAAAAATAATTGGTACTCGTTACGCATAAGATAATTGAACTTTTTAAGGTGGATACAGGATACAACAGCTAGGGGAATTTATTTATTTTTTACTAGATGAAAACCCGTGCGATGTACGATTTTTCATACATATATCTCAAGAAAAGATATTCCCTATATACTCTTAAGTTTATTTATTTATTTATTTATTATTATTATGATATATATAATTATTTGACTTATTTTACAATTTAATAATTTTAGACAAAAAAAATAAAATAATAATAATAATTTAATTAAAGTGATATTGCCAATTACAAAAGTATAATTTTTTTAATGTAATTTATAATGCGACTTAATTTATTGTTTTGTATTTTATTCGTTGTTGTTAATTATATGACAATAATATGATATTTTTCAAAAAAAAAAAAAAAAAAAAAATGTAAATATAATATTTCATTGATTACATATTAGGATAAAATCTTTAATGTGAAAAGATAATAATTTTTTATTTTTAAAATAATTTAAATCCTAAATCATTATTCGTTGTTTTTTACACTTGAAATTAAAATCTCAAATCTATATATCATTCTCAAATCTATATATCATTATGTATATTTCTTGCAATCTCTTGATCTCTAACAAATTATCTGTCTTTTCAAATTTTTAGACATAAAATGTTTAAAGAAGGTAAAGTTTTTTATTGCGTCAAAAGTTTTAATTTTTTTTTATGAAAAAAACATCTTATTAATCGGGTATTTAGATAAAAACATTAATTTCAAAAGATAATTTTTATTTTTTTTTTAATAATTTAAATCCTAATGTCCCACGATTTTTTATACGTAAAATCTCATAAAAAAAATAATATTTGTAATTAGATCATACTCATAATATTTTTGAACATTAAAAATAATAGTTATTAGATGTAATATTTTGATGTAAAAGAATTTGTATTAAAAAATAAATTCGATAGGATCACCAACTTAGTTCACACCGATATCTCTTCCATGTAATAAAAGTGGATAAATAGAACATGTTAGCAAAATAAAATTTATATAAAATTAATGTTTATAGTCTTATAAATTAAATTAAAATATTTACCAGAACTTGAATAATTGTTGTGAAATTAATCTAAAAATTGTAATTATACAAAATTAAATCATGCATTGGAATTTTTTCATCGTCCCCAATCGCCCAAATAATAGTATTTTGGAAAATTGAATCATTATTTTGTTGTCGCTGACAATGCGTGTGATATCGCTTCTTATTTGTAGCGACTGAAAAGTATCTAATGGAGTAAACTTTTCCTTCAATTAATTTTGAACAAAATTGTAGAACAAAGTTGACTTTAATTGAGGCATGAACGCAATTACCTTCTAATTAAAAATAAAAAATTAAGTTAATTTGATGACTTAATTAAGCTACCTAAATCACAAAAAATTTGTTTTAATCATAAAATTAATTGATAAAAACTAAAAGGTTCATTAAAAGATTTAATAAATGTAAACGATTTATAAAGATATATTACCTCCTCATCCAATAGGATCATCAAGCGAGAAACTCGTACTTTGATATTCCAAAGATTTTTGCTTGAATATAGTTCTCTGCATGTAAAAACAAAATTCAGTAAATAAATCATAGACATATAATCATTATGTATCCCAATAAACACAATTTAAGTAATAATAATCACAAATATACATTTAAACATGGGTTTTAAAAATTAAGCTAAGAATTACCCGGCCATTGATGACCTAATAAAACTGACACAAAATTAATAACGCAAAATTTGCTTGGTTTGGTTTTGTATTGATACGAAATTTTGTTGGTGTCATAGGATGCGTCAATTTATAATGGTAAATGTCACAAATTTTAATTTAATTATAATTAAGGAATAATTTTTATTTCTTATCATAAATACTATCAAAATTTATCTTATAAGAGTAGGTATATAAATCCTATATCTAAAGATGATTATTTTAAAAGATAATTTTTAGTTTTTTAAATAAATTAAATCCTAATAAATCAATATTCGTTGTTTTTACACAAAATTCTTAAATCTCATTTGTCACTTTTGTTTAGGTGGCAAACGAATTTTTTAATTCTAAATTGAAATAGAAATCTAATTTTTAATTGGTCGAAAACATACCTTTGCTTATATGGCGCGCCGAATGCTCTCCAAAAATGCCTACTTTATTTATATATATTAGATTAGATTTTTTTTTTTTTTAGGGGGTGGGGGTGGGGGGGGTGGAGGGGGTGGTTTGAAAAAATTGTCAGTTGGATCAATTTTAATGTTTTTGTTGGTCTTTTCATGCTAACTCACTAAATTCTTGTGATTATGAGTTATGACAGTACAATAGCATAATGAGCTGTATACATACTAATTACAGCACTTATGTTCTTTCCTTTTGTATGCACTTCTTTTGTAGAACAAGGCCAAAGCATTGAAGATACTATGTGCGAAGCTTTATGAAATTGAGAGATTTAAAATGCAGATAAACCGATCGAAGCTTCGGGCAGAGCAGGTGAATTGCCTATACTATTCATCCTCGAGCTTGATAAATATCTGTTTTGTTTGCTTCTCTGTCTAGCAAGTCATATATTTCTTGGTTAATCATTGGAAAGTTGCATTTCTTGATAACTTTTGCAGATCGGCAGTGGCGACAGATCTGAACGCATTCGTACATACAATTTTCCACAAGGGCGTGTAACTGATCACCGTGTTGGCATTACGCATCACTCTATAGATGAGGTGCTACAAGGGGAAAGTTTAGATATGTTTATTGACGCTCTTATCTTACAGCAGGAAATGGATGCTATAGCAAATTTCTCAGCCAGCTAAGTATTTATTTAGACTTCAGATAGAGATAACCTCGAGTTGCACCTCTTTCAAGCAATCGGATTGTGCCAATACTCGATTTTTGTCCGTTGAGATTCCAAATACTATATGCGAGTTATCATTTCTGCCACATTTACTTGTGAAAATAGATTTACTTATCATACGCTTACCTATATTTTTTCTTCTAATTGAAAATAAGTATAAACAAATTTTAGTAAGAGTGCCTCATTGTAATACAAACATGAATTGCCATTTGAATAGGATCATATGCAACCAACCGATGAGGTCTTGGTCTAGTGGTTAAAATAGAGAGTTTGTGTACAGTTCAAATTTTCCCATTTCCATTTGTAATTTGAATTGCCCTTATGACGTATTCGCACCAAAAAAAATAATGACATGACAATTTATATAATGTGTAGTATATAACACAGCAAAATTAGATAGTTGCATACTTGCATGAGCAATATTCTAGAGATATAATGATTAATTAGGAAAATAATATTAGTACATATAAGAAATATTTTGTTGTAAATGTAATGAAAAATAGTGGTGGTTAATTACTTTGCATTCGTCACATTTTTCATACATAATTTATTAAATTCTTGTATCCCTTAAGGCCTTATATATATGTATTTAATATATTAATGAATAATAATGAATTTTCATTTTCAATTTGACCATACGTGTAGTATTATTTTGTATTATATAGTGTAAAAAAGAAAATCATTATTCATAAGCCTATGGGATGTCGCACTATCAGCAGCAACATCCAAAATACAACCCAAAATTATGGAATCCATAGATTTAGCAAGGAAAGCGGAGCACCACATGAGAATGAAACACTCCTGTAATGAGAAAATTAAGGGGATATGAGGAAGAGATAGTGTACCCTGATTCCTAATTTTAACAAACTTCTTAGATGTTCATATAATAAAATAGTCTGATTTTACACAATTACCGCATTGTGGTTTACCAAGAGTAAATATAACAGAGAGACGGAGGGTAGAAAACTCTCTTTTCTCGTCTCTCTTCAATATGAATTGATTTTTTCTTTTTTGTTTCCCCTCGTTTCATAATTATTTCCATCATTTATACTACAATTAAAAAAAAAAAAAAAATACGAGGGGAAAGAAACGATAGGGGGAGGGAGGAGCAATGGGAAGTAAAGTAGTGGTATCATTAATATCCATCATTTTGGTGGTTGGGGTTGTCATTGGAGTGGTAGTAGTCGTTCATCGCCCAGGGGGTAAAGGTGGTAAAGATAATGGTAAGGATGATGAGAACTTGTCTTCCTCAATGAAGACGGTGAATGCCCTATGTGAACCATCTACATTTAAAGATTCATGCATTAAGAGCTTAGGATCAGTAGCACAGAACGAGAGCGCCACTCCTCAAGACTATGTTAAAGCTGGTATCAAAATGGCTTTGGAGGAGATATCAAAGGCCAACAATTTAACTGATACCCTTGTCCCCAAAGCTAATGCAACAAAAAATGTGGAGAGAGCTAATATGGCTATTGAAAGTTGTAAAGACCTATTCAATTTAGCGGTTGATCGCCTGGATGATGCCATTAAACAAGTTCAGGATCCTAAAATGTATAAAGAGAAGGATATAGTTTGGAACGTCCGTCTATGGCTCACTGATGTCGCCACCTTTGCCACTAGTTGTGTAGATGAATTTGATGAGGCTGAGGCTCCTGAGCTTCAAAACACAATGCAGGATGCTGTTCTCAATGCCACTGAGCTCACTGTAAGCATGCTCGACATCATTACCACTTTTAATGCAGCTCTTGGTGACTTGGCTCTTTCTCTTAATGGTAGCAAGTTGGTTGAGCTGTCAACTATAGCTAATGCTACATCGAACATTGGCAACCCAGTTACTAGTACTCGTCGTCTCCTTGGAATAGCCATTGATAGAGAGGGCTACCCAACATGGTTGTCTGCTGATGAGCGAAGGCTCTTAGGTGGCAAAGGTGGAAAGAAGAAGATGCATAAGACAAAGGGGGTTGGTAAAGGCAAGAAGAAGGGAAAGAAGGGAAAGGGTAAGAAGGGTTTAGCTGCAGGAGGTGCTGCAGCAGGTACTGCGGGAGGTGTTGCAGCAGGTACTACAGCAGCTGCTGCAATTGTACCTGGTATGAAGCCTAATGTTGTGGTTGCTCAGGATGGTAGCGGCCAGTTCAAGACCATCACAGATGCTCTCAGGGCCCATCCAGGGAAGAATGTGCAAGGTCGGTATGTTATATATGTTAAGGCTGGTATCTATAGGGAGGATGTCATTGTAGGGAGGGAACACCCTAATGTTTACATGTATGGAGACGGCCCTACAAGAACAGTGGTGACGGGGGATAAGAGTTTTTCTAAGGGCGTTCAAACCTCTAAGACAGCTCCCTTTAATGTGGAAGGTTTAGGGTTCTTTGCTAAGGACATGGGCTTTCAAAACACTGCTGGTCCCAAGGGGCATCAAGCTGTGGCTTTGAGGGTCAATGCTCTTCAAGCTGTATTCCAAAACTGTTGGTTTGATGGCTTCCAAGACACCTTGTATGTTCAGGGTGGGTCTCAATTCTTCCGTGATTGCCAAATTGCTGGAACAGTAGATTTCATCTTTGGCAACGGTGCTACCTTGATCCAAAATTCTAAGATCCTCGCTAAAAAGTGTGACCTTAATCAAATGAATTTAGTCACAGCTCAAGGTGGTATAGCTGCTAATGAGCCCACTGGGATTGTAATTCAAGGTTGTGAGATCCTTCCTGATAGAGAACTCTTCCCACTCAGGTTCCAACTCAAAACCTACTTGGGTCGTCCATGGAAGACCTATGCCAAGACTCTGTTCATTGAGTCTCTGATGGGAGACTTGATCCAGCCTGCGGGGTATGAACCCTGGGCTGGAAATGCAAACATCAACACTGCTTTCTATGGTGAGTATGCCAATCGTGGACCGGGTTCTAATACAGCTATGAGGGTCAAATGGAAGAATGTTAGGGTCTTAAACAAGGCTGAGGCCCAACGCTACTCTGCTGGAGTTTTCCTAGGCGGTGCTCCTTGGGTTAAGGCTGTTGCTGTTCCACTCAATCTTGTTGTAGCATAATGTGTCTGGGATGAGAGGTTAATAATTTGCTTTTATTTATATTTTTATTCTGACTTGCTGAGCAGAAGCTCCAAGGCTTCAAGCTACAGTTATCTCAGTCACTCTTACGGACTTTCTGGTGTAATATACCTAACTAACGAATGAATTTATATTGACATCTATATGAGCAATTAAATATAGTTATATTGTAACAGAACCTTGATTCTGTTATATTATCTGTAACTGAATTCTATTATGCTTGAGTTAGTTATTACTGTAGCTCTATAAATACAGTCCTGTAAGAAGTCCAAAACAGATTTTGGAATAATAACTCTACTTCTCTATCTCTTCTCTCTCTCTCTCTTATTTCTCTCTCTTATCTCTCTCTCTCTTATTTCTCTCTCTTATCTCTGTTCTTGTTCTATCTTCTTCTTTTCCTATCATTCTACTCTGTTTTCTAATCAAATACAGTAGCTCGATTGAGCTCATTGTTACCTATATCAAGAATGACAATTTACTTGGGTAAGATATTTAAGCTTCTCGAATCTTATTTTTGGAACGGTATTTAGGGGCATTCTTAGGTGATTTTTGCAGCAACTAGAAGGGTCAGAGCCTGGTGGCAGGTGGATATAGCAGAAGCAAAGGCCATTGTGACGGCCATCAGGTTGGGTCAAAGATTTGGTTGCGAGAAGGTGATAATAGAATCTGATTGCCAAGTTGTTAACAGGTTGACCAAGGGAGCTGCTTATCTCACGGATTTAGATGTTGTGCTTTGTGATGCTATGTCTCAGAGTACTGCTTTCACAAGCTTACATTGGGCGCATGTCAAGCGAGAAGGAAATGTGGTGGCTCACAATCTTGCTAGTTATATTCCTTTTGGTGTAGAGCAAATTTGGGAAGGTTGTGTTCCCTCTAATGTAGCTCCCTATGCACTCATGGATGTTCTTGCTATTAATGGTTAACCTTTTGCTTGCCCTCACAAAAAAAAAAAAAAAAAAGCTTGCCTACAATCTACAAACCTTGGCTTCCTGCTCCCAACTAGGGGTGGTTGTTGGGTAGGGCTACCCAATGGCAAAAGGGTCAGGCCTAACACTAAAGGGTTTTGACCGTTTAATTTTTTAATAGACAGAGATTTTATAGAGTCTTATTTTGTAGGGCTTTTATAGGGTTTCAATTAGAGCCCAATAATTTAAGAATTAAAATAAAAAGCCAAATAATAACGGTTAAGGGTCAGCCACTCAGCCCTCACTTCCATTTTCTCTCTCTTCTCCTCTGTACTTTCGCCCACCTTTCTCTCTCCTCCATTGAAGCACACTCAGAGTTCTCCATTGAAGCGCACTCAGAGTTCTTCATTGAAGCCGCTTCTCAGCTTCTCGGGTATAGTCATTTTCTCTCTCTTAATCTATTCTTCAATTTTGATTCATGTTTTCGTTTTGTTAATGTTTGATCATCTTCATTCGTCGGTGAATTCCGATGGTTTCGGAGGTGGTGTTTGGAATAATAATTGGGATGATTGGTCTTCTTCGTTTCCCGATTATCCGACTTTTGATTTCGTCGTTCAAAAAGCTTGTTCGTTTGATTACTAAGGAAAGAGAGAAGGTTCCGTTGAGAATGGAAGTTTGCTGATAATTTACCGGTACTTTTATTCGTTCTGATGTATATAATTGTACATATTGGTCGAATTCTCGAACATATTATTGGTTAAATTGTACATATAGTACGAAGTAGTTCTGATTTGATCGATAATTTGTCGAAGTCTCTGTTCTTTAGATAGTTGTGAATTGATTCTTAATTTGCCGAAATTATTGTTTCTTAAATTGTTGTTTATCGATTGATAATTTTCCGAATTCATTGTTCATTACATAGTTTTGAATTGATTCTTAACTTGCTGAAATTATTGTTTCTTAAATTGCTGTTTAGTGTGAGAGTGAAAGATTAAGGAAAGGAAGGAAGGAAGTTTCTGGGGAGATATTGATATTTGATAATGAATGAAGAACTGTAATTGACGCAAATTTGAAGTCGGTGGGTATAAAACAAACAGAAAGAGAGTGAAATCTGCACATACAATCATGAGCAGCTAAATGGAAGTATGTGGGTAAAGGCCTGATAATGACCCGTTTCACTTTTACCTCGACCCTGACCCGCATTGTCCCTGAACCGACCCTGACCCACTAAATATTCATCATGACCCGCAACTGACCCGCCCCGCTAATGACCCGCACTGACCCGCCCAATAACCACCCCTAACTCCCAACACAAGACAACAACATAATGTTTTCTGCTTTTCTCTTATGCTTTATATATTAGAAAATTATAGAGCTTGATTTCATGTTGCTTCTCCACATGGTAAACCAGTTAGTAATTTGCTGCAAAATTAGGAAAAAAAAAAATAATAAAAAGGTATGAGTATATATTTGGATAAAAGAGCAGATGCTAAATCTCCTTTTTAGATTGAAGAAATGCTCACAGTGGAGAAACAAGACACATTTCTGTCAATTTTACAATTAAAGGCATGGCCACAGATCACAGTAGATTCATGTGTCAAATGACAGGTGAAAACCTGCCCTTTATGGCTTGTGGATTGCACTTAATATATTACCTACGGTATTCTCACTCTACACCCTGCGTTGCCATCGCACAAAGCCTTTGAAGCTTCCTAGCTCCTGTTTATCAAGTGATAATGACATCAAAGTCACTGACTGTCCATTCTGCCACCTCCTCTTTGTCACTGACAAAAATTTCCGTACCCATATCAATTGAGGTCCATACTCTCTTAGCCGGAGGTGTACCAGGGTCCTGATATGCATAGAGAATGGCAATTTGTTAGCAACAACCAGAAAAACAAAGAGCAAATTATCGTATACACTAATTAAACACTGCAGTTGATGAAAGCATGGTAACCTGATAGAAGTAGAGCCTACTAGAAAGGCCGCCAACATCCAACACCCAAGTAGTAGGATCGCCAACCCATCCTTGGCCTGGCTTGGTAGGATATCCATATTCAGCCCAGCTAGGATGAGGCAGCAACTGGAGTATCTCTTGTGACTGAGGATTGCTGTAAGGGTCACATGAGTCAGATGGTTGCTCAGGGTTCTCGGCATTCCCAGGTCGACAATAGTAATGGTAGGCGCCATAGGGGAAGTGGGCAGTGTCATTCCTGGGAATCTTGGTGTTGTTGGGAGTAATGTGGTAGGGTGGACAGGACTTGATGCTAGCAGGGCTGCACCACGCGGGGGTTTCAGGGTTAATGATCATCTCACTATATCTAGTAACATCGGTGAGCATATCCCCATTGCATGGTTTTCCGTTGTTTTTCCAGCAGCTTCCGATATCAATCAAGTAGAATTGGCTCTTTGCTCCTCCGCCTTGCTTTATATCCAAATGCATTTTCACTTTAAAGTTTGGGGATACTGGAAGCTGCATGCAGGAAACGTTATAAGTATTACTCTTTTAACCGTAGTTAGTGGCCTAGTTATAATGTCGATAATTGTAATTGAGGCACCTAGTATGAGAACTTGATACAACATGAAACAAAATTAACACATGGCCTGGTCATGGTGGGATCCACGTGAACAAAATCTACCTAAATTGACTAAAACTTCGTTGTTTATTTGGTTTTGAATATTGAAGTAAATAGGGACGAAGCTAGACTTGATAGAAGAAAGGGCCGTTCTAATAAAAATATAGGGCCATAAGGGTCACTTCAATAAGTGTGAGTAGGGTGAAGCACCATTAGGGCGAAGTACCACAGGGGCCATGGCTCTCTCAGGCCCCAACTAAGTGTCTTCCCGGAGGCAAATGTGTATGTCAAAGTATAACAACTAAATTTTTATTTAATAACAAAATAAATAAACAAACAAAAATCTAACAACAAAACAAAATATACAAGTCATAAAATAGATTTTGAGAGAGGGTGGGGGGTGTTTTAAATCTCATCAGTTATCACTAGTCATAAAAGGAGTATTAACAATTTTATTTGAACTTTTTTATACAAGAACGACCCTAACCAAGTCTCAATATATACTTTTTTTTTTGGTACAATATTTATGGCTCAGAGCCTCAGACACTTGTAAAACTGGAAATGAGAAAGCTAAAATATCTCTCTTTCACTCTCCAAGCACATATAGTTGGGAGAATTCGGCCATGTGACCTTAAGATTACAAGATAAATCCCCAGGCTTTGTTTGGTGGGGTATTGACAATAGTGTCAAGACTGTCAACACAGAGAACCATAAAAACATTAATCAGAGCTCTGTTTTTTTTTCTTTCTTTTTTTTTTTTTAAATAGAAAACAGTGATCAGAGCTAAGAGTGGAATTAGTAGAAGTTGTAAAATAATCACGGGCAAAACCAAGAGTCAAGAAATATTTCAAAACCTGGGGAATTTAGCAAAACTTTATTTGGTGGAAGATCACATGGATCTTGCAAGCTTAGTCAAATTATTGATGTTTCCACAGCACATGTAGGGACGGGATCTAGTTGAAATATCACATTTCAATTCTTAATTTTGTACTACTAGAAGATTTTTTACTAGCCAAAATTTTACTTGTTTTTATAGAGATGGAGTGGAAACCCTGAATTGAAGCAGGACAGACAATTAAAAAAAAAAAACCTTACAATTTTGAGCATTCCTCTGGTGTCATAGTGATAACCTCCAGAATATCCTTGAGTTGCATCAGCCCTGAGGTACAGCATAAGCCACGGATACTTTTTGGAAGTTTTAAGCTTGTGCTTGAAAGACCAGCTCCCCTGTCCAGGTTGCTTCTTCCAAGTAACTTCATAATAAGAGACTCCCACGCCCACGTCCACGACATCGCTGATATCGGAATCTAAGTCATAGGTACCCCGGAAGCCACCCGTCATGGTGGCAATATCAGAGTCATTAGCATGAGATAACCTCAAGGAGGTTGGGTTATGGTGAAAGGAAGGTTGGTTCATGCACCCAGCTCCAAAGCAAGGGAACCTGCCTGGAGGTGTATAAAATGGACCAACCTTTTTCCCATTCTGTGGGCATAGACCTGAATTACTGTCAAAGTTGCCATTCTTCAGCATAACCATCCAGAATTGCCACGGGGCTTCGGCTTCGGCTTTAACCTCGCATAAGCTTCCCAAATATAGCTCCTTTTGGGCTGCATACAGATCTGCATTAGTCAGAGCTTCTGCTGTCAACCCTGGAAAAGGCTTTCCCACCCCGAGCTTGTTGTGTGCTTCTGTCACTTTGTGCTGAATTTGAAAGGACCTATTGCTTCCTGCACTTTGGATTTTGTTGCTGATAGAAGCTTTGGGGATGAAATTAAAGCAGTCGGCCGCTCGAGGGCTACCCATGGCAGGGGCTTCATGACCAACTTCATTGCAAAAATTCCAGGCCTCAAAGGCAACCCTCAGTCCGTCCCTCTTCATTCCTGGATCCCCCACTGCCGATTGTTCCTTTTCGATGTTTCCTGCATTCACATTGCATCTGCAGCTGCAGCCTAACAAAATGGCTGCTACCACCATTACTAACAACACTCTTACCTCTTTACTCATCTCCAACAACAATTAATCTACCCTTTTTTCGTCTTTAATCTTTAGCTGATTGATTTGCAACAACTCACAGTACAACCAACTATTTAAGTAGAAGAATTATTAATTAAGAGAAAGACAAGAACATAGATATAAAAAGGAACAACTACTACTACTGGTATTGGTAAAGCTCAACCCCCCCTCTTCATAAGTACTCACTCGTATTTAAGAGAATATATACGTTCCTTGGCGAGTAGAGTTATAATTTTATGCTTCAGCTCAGATTGTGAAGGGAGCATTTACTGACAATTCTTTTTATTTTTAATTTCAGATATTTAGCAACCCAAGAAAAAAATTGCTCCATATTTCTAATGTCAATTACATTATAATGCAATTTTAATAGACTGAAGAATTTAGGACGAGAGTATACCGTATATTTAATACTCGTACTTGTATTTCTTTCGAACCTTTTTGTTCTTCCTATTTGAAATCTTGATAATATAGTCATGTTAGTCTTATTAGTATGTAACTATAAATTATTATTGTTAGAATAATACATTGACAAACATGCATTGTCAGAATGAGAAGAGTATTTAGAATCGGAAAGAGTGGTAAATGTCTAAAAGCAGGCTAAGCAGCAGAGATTCCGTGGAGAAAGAAGAGAAGGAAAAAATGCTTATCACTCCTATAATGCATATAATATTTTATGATCATTATTAAAAATGTGTATACTACAAAATAAAAAGGAATGATTGAAGTAAGTTGTAATCTTGCGTGATTTTGGATTGGAAGCGAAAAGAAAGGTTTGGAAAAAGCAAGTGTCAAAACATCAATTTGCGTCTGAGTGTGGTCTTTTTAATTTGTATCTGATGATCTTGGACTCGTAACGGATGAGGTACTCTCACTAACCTCAATGGTCCCTAACTTTATGCCTTATATCTTTGCTTTCACTGTTTTTTTTACTTTCTTCATAATTACTACTACACCAGTAATCCAGTGCTCTACCTTCTTTCTGCCATTATATATAATATAAATAAAGTATACAAACCGATTATGTGGTTCAACCATTCGCTTACATTTTTAATTAAGTTGATCATTTAATATGGTATTAGAGCCAACGTAACACAAATATCACTCTTTGAATATCCTTCACACCGTCTTTTCAAAGTAGAATATATTAAGTGATGGGTATGATGGGGCCTAAAGGAAAAAAAAGCCTTATATAATACGTAACACTTAAAAAAAGAGGAGAGAATATTTAAAGTAATAATTAAAGTAGAAATTATCATTTTTCAATTTAAAAAATATTGCTACTCTAATTATTCCTTCATATTAATGTGTATGATGCCAAACATAAAGAATACAAAGAAGCACAGGATTGAGGGAATAGAGAATCCCAGCAACCAACTCAGGTTGGACAGGTCCCTAGAGTTGGTCCCTAAGTACAACACCCATAACATGTTTGGTTGACATCAAAATAAAAGGGAAGTGAGACTTTTAAGGAATTACAGAGCACAAGTTAGGGGTTCTGTTTGATTGACAAAAGTTTGGTAAAATGGCGAAGTGAAACTTCCTAGGAATTTACACTTTCCACAAAATATAAGAATTTACTTACCTAATTCCCTTATGTAAGTAGTCTTTCCCATGTGAAGTTACTTCCCTGGTTTTTAACCAAATAATTTATGGAAATTCTAATTCCCATTTGAACCAAATGACACCTCAATTCCTTACACTCCTATCGTCCTATGTCAACCAACTCAAAAGTTGCAAAATCACTGTCGTATTTTTTAGTAGGCTGTAGGGTAAAATTGGTGATCGTCTAAAGCTTCACAACTCTGCTTCTGACACTTATTTATAACCAGCTCTGCTTCTTAGGGCGACGCTCCCTTTAATGCAGTAAAAGGATGTTGGTTGCACTACTACTTTTAACACTGTCGCTTCACATTGTGCATCAGTTGTTGCACTTCTATTCAATAAAAGAAACAGCCTGGATCAAGCAAGGGTACACAGAAGCTTTCAAAGCTTCACGTGTGGCTTTACATGAAAAAGGAAGGTAAGATCTTCACTGACTCAGGTGGTTAACAAACAAACACACCATCTCCATCTTCATCTCCATACCAAATCTACGTTTGGTACAAGTTGTTTTTTGTCCTGCAAGTCCATTAGCTCGTACTTCCACATACAGTCATTCAAATCAATGCTGTTAACAAAACTAATTTATCACAATTATCCAAGGGAGATGAAGAATAGTAAAGAGAGTGCGGCTCATCTTTCAGAAATAGCACATGATAACTACTACATAGTAATATCCAAACCATCAATATACTCAAAGTATTTCAGTCATTCAGATTTTACATTGGTACCCTCAAGTCAATTACCCTAAAAGCAATCGTTTGTGTTTGTATTCTTTTCTAGTATTAAACCGTTTTAAAAAACCAAAACGCATACATACATATACACATACTGCCAAGCACATTTGCTGCTACTATTGATCTTCACTTCCACGGAATGGGTTGGCACCCAAAAAAAAAAAAAAAACATAGCTCGCCAAAGACCAAAGCTTGCTTATATAAAAATATAATGACAACTGCATAATTAATCTATCCCAAAAATAAGAAAAAGACATGTTTGTGCTTGCACCAAGGATACTCCCTACGACCCAAATTAGTTTATATCTTAAGGCCATGTTTTATTCAACTTATGGATTTTTTAAGACCTTATTTTCACTACATCAAAACTTATTTATAAGTATGTCAGAACTTATATTGCCTAAAATAAGCCAAATAAGTTGACAAAATGGGACCAAGAATGGACCAATATATTACCCAAAAAAAAAAAAGAAAAAAAAAAAAAAAACCCTCTATAAAAGCTAGTGATTTAATTTTTCAATCCTCTCCTCATCAATTAATATAAGGTACTGACAAATTAGAAAATTTAATCATAATATTACAGAGTATTCCTCAACAAACATCCTTAAGTAATACATGTAACTATTAATTTCAAATTAAGGAGTAACAAAATCCTTATAAATGTTTAACCAGCTATAAGCTATCTAGCACAATGGCATAAAAGACAAGATATTAGTAGCAGAGCAGACAAAGGGGGGAGAGAGAGAGCGAGAGAGAGAGAGAGAGAGAAGAGTTCAATGATACGCAGTAAGAATACCTTCAGCATATGGCATGCTATTAGACAGGTAGACAATTAGCCAAATAGCATGAGGATGGCCAAGGTTCTCAAAAAAATTAGGTTTGTGTACATGACTCAAAGGATCTATGAACTTCAGATCACCCTCTTTCTAGCTTACCACCAGAGCCTCCTGGAGTTGTAATGACCCTTATTCAGAATTGATTCTGGATTGCCTTTCAGATCTTGCAAGAAAAATAATAAGGGTAACCAAGATTTTGGAAGAGCACAATAACAACAATTCACAGTTGCATTCATTTAATTAAAATAGCCAATATCCCACATATTGCTGGTACATATGCATGGCAATAATGCTGTAATTCTAGCTTTGCACTAATTTACAGAAGGTAGCAACCAAATACACAATTATACACAAACATCCGCAATGGTTATCATTTAGTCTCACTTCAAATAATCCTAACTAGTAAAATATAATTAACCCATGCTATATATCCCTTGTACATAATGCGCTATCTAGTTTCCAAACAATTTCATAAAAACCAGATTTTGCACCAAGGTAGATGTGAGAATAGTTTCAACACCTAAAGAACAAAATTAAGAATGGTGTTCCTATAGCTTTGATTGCCTTCCCATCCCAAAGTTGTGAGGATCAAGCAGGGGTGTTTAATTCATCAAGTTGGAATGGATTGATATGGAATCTCATACTTGAGAGGTATGGATTCTAAAACCCATAATAATCCAAAGTTGTTTGGTTTTATTGTTGGAATGGATTATATCCTTCATTAATAGAATGGATTGTGAATCTTAGGGGGAGGGGTGGGTATGAGATTCCATGGGTATGGAGGGTAGTTAGAACCCCTTGGGTATGAGATTACATTACTAAAAACCTCAACCAAACAAAAAACTAGATGGAATGGATTCTAACTCCATTCCAAATAATCCAACCAAACAACCCCTAAAAAAATTGCAAATTCTCTCCCTAACTAGTAAAATATAATTAACCCATGCTATATATCCCTTGTGCCTAACACATATTCTAGTTTCATTTATATGCTAGTTGAAGAGGAAATATTCCCACTATTTTGGCTCATATTCAAGATATCTTATGCTAAGATAAAGCAAATGCTACAATTCCTATCACCAGTATCTATAACCATTTTGAGATATAATGTACTTCATGTCGCTTAATGAAGGACAAAATAACCAACCTGGCAAGGATTTATGAGCATTGGCCATCATAGGCTCATAGATATCTCCTTTAGTCTTCAGAATAATAATATTCCTATGATTCCCGTGATGAACATGACTTCCTTTATTCATAGGATTTCTTCTGCAACAGGTGAATTGGAGTAGCTCCCAATAACATTTGTAATGGGAACAGATTTGATCCATCTAAGACTTCTAGGAGATGTATTATAATCAGACTTCAGGTGGGAATTGTGTCCACACTCCAACAATTAAATATCTACAGCTAACGCTGAAGAGTGAAGCAATTATACTGCAAAGAATTGAGAAGATATCAGCATCAGACTATAATAGCAAATTCAGGAAAGAGAGAACCATAGACCAAACTGAAATCAAGTACACAAATACAATTATTAAGAAGGAAAGCAAGTTTAAAAGACAGTAAGGAATTCAAACAGAATTTTTCACAGAAAATAACCTAATTTATTCACTAGAGTTGATAACTTACAGCGAACCAAGTATTAATTACTCTGTATCAAATTTAAGGAGTTTCAGGCTTATAATTAAACAAAACATATAAACACCATTTTACATTGAGTTCATCACAATTGTACACAAGGAAACCATGCAACAATGCCAAGAGTTTGCACATTTTAATGTGATCTCAATGTTGTCTAGTGATTAGTGACAATGATGTACTAAGTAACCTGTCAAGGATATACAATATTTAGTATTTCTACATTGTTCTGGACACAATATACAAGTCTACAGGGCAGATATTTCTATAAATGTGGATAATCAGTAAGTCCTCTGTATATATGCATAATTCCGGAGATACCATTACAAAAACAAAATCATGAATTTATAGGATACAGATGTTGCTTCCACCCACATAACAACTCTCTTGCTATGCTTTTCAGGCCAAACCTTCTGCTTTCATGATAAAGGGCGACTTTGCAATAGATCAGGCAGTGTTATCCTTCCCATGTTGTTGGAATCGAGCTTTTCAAACTGATGGCAAATCTGTGATATGTCCTGCTCTCCAATCTTTCCCATCTCTTTAAGCTTGAAGATAACATATTCTGATTTGCTGCGCATAAAGGTAATTATAGGGGATCAGTAGTTCTTCTCAACTTCAGATTGCCAGATACATGCATAGTATAATTAATAGTTAATTTGATGCTACACATTGAAAAATCCAGATTTAGTTACTTGTAGACCATAAACATAGCTCCCAAAGACTGTATAGATATAGACCAAATAGCTAAACCCAGTAAACAAACCATGAGCTTTTGTGAAGCACAACCCTTAACACTACACTACGTAAAAAGTCCATCAACAGTCGTGGACTCATGGATGCCCAAGGATTGAGTAATAATGATGAGTATGCTTAATAGCTTTTACACATTAATTGGCCACTTAGATTATGGATGACTGCCCAATTATCAACTGAGGTCTAAATACTACTCGTAATATAGTGATAAATCAGGTTTATTTAGACTCCAGAGCAAGGACCTCATCAGTTCACACATGAGTATGTGTTTTCTTGCTTACATGGGTTCTATTCATGACATAATAAAGAGGTGTTAAAATGCTCTTCTACTGTTCTTTTCTGGTTCCTGATTTTACCAATCAGTGCACAATTCTGCTATAATACAATATAGATCTATTAACTATATTGTAAGGATTAGAGAAATATACTACTTTTATACAGTATTAAAAAAGAAAAGGACATGGAGATACTTGATGAAATCGTTATTATTGATGTTGGCAGCAAAGAGGTCAAGAGGAGTAATGTCCCTTTGGAGAACCCACTTGGCAATGGTGCGTTGACGCTTGTGAATGCGAGCCTCAACAAGGAAGAGGAAGGAACGGGCGACAGCCAAAGTGGAAAACAGGAGCCAAACAGAAGCGAAAAGGCGGCCGGAGAGGGTGCTGAAGGCTTTATCGCCGTAGCCAACGGTAGTAACGGAAAGGGCAGATAGATAAAGGGAGTCAACCAAAGACAATTGCTCAACAAAATACAAGAAGAGAGTTCCAACACCGATGCATAGGATAAGGACCAACAGTGCTAGACCAACTTTGAGACGGATTCTCATGCGACCTTTCTGAACATCTACAAGCCTGAGGGTGAGGAAGCGGAGGAAAGGGGGATTTCGATTATGATTGAGATTGGAATTATGAACATTATTGGTTTGATGATGAAGTATATCAGAGAGGATATTCTGCTCCTGAAGATCAAGCACATAATTGAGTACTCCAGAAAGAAGAATGTCGATGAAACCAAAGCCAACAAGTACAAAGAGACAGGAAAACAGTTTGGTAAAAGGAGTGAGAGGAGTTATATCACCGTAGCCGATGGTACACATTGTAACGATGCAGAAGTAGAGAGCATCAACAATTGGATGAGTCTCTACACCTCCTACTCCTCTTGAGAATTGATCCTTGTTGAGTTGGTACACCAAAACACCCATTACTAAGTATATTATCAGCAGTATACCTGCTTGTCTCACCATCACCGTCCTCGTACCCGAGGAATCTTCTTCATCTTCATCTTCGTCTTCCTCCTCCTCGACTTCAGCTTTACCACCAATATCACCGCCACCGCCAGTTGCTGTGTATTTCGCTTGAAGCTCGCGAACCACGGCGGCCATATCCTTAGCTGGAGCTGTTTTACATCTATGGAGTGATTTCACCATGGGTCTTTTTATTTCCTGAAATTGCAATTCATCATCAGGATTAGGATCATGAAGATGAGAATCAGAGTGGGTGGATCTGGATAATAGTAGTCTCGATTCCTCCGCACCCCAATCTCCGTCCTCATCCATCTCCACCAATGGACTTCTTATTTCTTTTTTTTTTTTCCCTTTAAAGAATTAACACACAGCCATTTTCACGGTTGACGGCTCCTCTCAGATCATCGACTCATCACAACCTTTCACAGTCACCCTCGGCTATACTCATTCTTCATTATTGGCCTCACTTGGTCCTGCTGTCGCCCATCAAAAAGAGTACTGTAATTTTATTTTATTTTATTTTTTTTACGATAACTACCAGTATTTTTTTTATTTACCAATAAACTGGTAAACAAGTCAAGAGTCAAAGTAAATGATATCACGGGTGACGACAAAACAACAATCGCCAAAATTGATTCATGACCAGTTTTTCAAAAAATAATACTCAAACTTTGTATAAAATATTAAAGTGCTTCCTCTCCGAGCAAACTACGAGTAAAAAGAAAGAATAAAAAGAGAAGTCGCTGGTATTAATTTAATATTCTATCCGTTTTTAATTACTTGTTCTACTTTTTATTTTTAGCCGTTTTTAATTACTTGCTTTATTTTTTTATTTGGAAAGTTTTTACAATATTTAATTTCTTTCTCTCAATTAGTGAATTCAAGAGAAATTATATTTTAATATTAATTTCATGTTCTCTCTCCTCCAATTCTCTCAAATATTGTTGCTTTTTACAATTTTTTATTCTTCCACTACCTCTATATTTTATTACTTTACAATTTATCCTAAAATTCCACTTATAAAAATGAAGCAAGTAGTTATAAACGGAGGAAGTATTAGATTAATAGGACTCTGAAAAGTGAATTACGAGAGATCAACTATGAAGATAGAATGAGTCAAAGACCAAGAAAAACATTATTATAATTACATAAATTAGTCGATCTAATTCTAAAATAGCTGGGTGGAGTTGTTGGAAGACAATTTTCCTTGAAGTTGAGCATATCAAGACAAGACATACAATTAAGATCAATAGCTCATACTCCGTATTAGCTAGCTTTGAGTGCTTTTTTTTTTTTTTTTTTTGTTGAGTTTTGAAGTTGAGTGCTTTCTTTCTTTCTTTTTTTTCCCGATATTACAGGAAAGCTGATTTTTTTTGGGTAAGTTTTACTCTCTCCATCTCTTTTTATAATGATAATAATACGAAGTAATTTTTTTTTTTTTTTAAAAAAAAAAAAAAAAAAACACATGATCATTATTTCTCATTATATATATACTGTAATGTGTGTGATACATATGATCGATCATTTTTCCTGAATTGTGTTGATTGGCTTTTGTTATGGAGAGTTTGAAAAAAAAATACTACGTTCATGAATTTTGATTTATAGATTAAAGTTATTTAATAAGCTCATTTGAAACAACTCTCCCAAATGAGCAAATGAGATATTTGAAATTGTATTGATCGGACATAAAATTGAAGTTAAAGGGGCTGCAAAGCCTGCAATAATACCACCCCAATATTGTCTAGAGTTAGCTTCATCAGTTGCTTTGTCTACCAAAGCCAAATCTAAACTGCTTAATAATTAGACTTATTATGTTTATGGAGCATGGACTAAATCTAGTCAGTTTTTGTTGATTATGTTCGTTTAAGTCTTTGTTTAGGTTTTCGTAAAATTGGTATAAAACTTGTGTAATTATTGATTTTATTTATTTATTTATTTATTTTTGACAGGATGTTGTTGTTTGCTCAGTCCATTTAGCTAGCTCTGATTATAGTCATGTAATTCCTTTAACGTCCGTCATCTTCTTCTTGTTTGCTCTTGCTTAATTGTCAACTGAGATATGTTACCTGCCTATTAATTCATCAATCATCATGCTAATCCTTTTATCTGCTACATTGTTCTCCTCTTATAGCAAGGCTTAGCTTTTTTAAATCCACAAACACACACAAATTAGGAATTAGGAATTAGGAATATAGTAAGGCTTAGGCTTACGTAAGTCCTGTTATTCTTGCAAAGGTATATACAAGTAATAATTTTTTTAGTAACTAAGTACTCTCCTCCAGAGTCCAGACCCAAGGGTGAGTCGGTGAGACTATGGACAAGGAGAATGGGGTTGAAGAGGCGACAACCTCCAATTCTGGTGCTGGTGAGCAAAATCAACACAATGAGAACCAGAAGAATAAAGCTAGAGTTCCATTCTATAAGCTTTTCTCATTTGCGGATTCTATTGACAAGGCGTTGATGATCATTGGCTCAATTGGTGCTGTCGCAAATGGTGTATGTATGCCCTTGATGGCCATCATTGTTGGTGAATTGGTTGATTCATTTGGTGAGAATCAAAATACCAAAAAAATCATTCATGTCATCTCCAAGGTTAATTGCTCTCCCATGTCTAATATTGCTTAAGATAGTTAATGTATATAGTACTCCCTTTGTTGTTTGCTCCATTCCTGCAATATCTCTAAAGATTCTCAACTTAGTCACTGTTGGCTTCTTGCAGGTGTCTCTAAAATTTGTTTACTTGGCCATAGCAGTTGCAATTGCTGCATTTCTTCGTAAGCACTCTAAATCCCTTGTCTTTTGTTCTAATATAATTGAGGAGATATACTCAAAAAGCTTCATTTGTTAAAAGCAGTCCATAATTGAGATGCATACGAAGAATAATATTTTTACTGCACTCGCAGAGGTGGCTTGCTGGATGGTAACAGGAGAAAGACAGGCAACAAGATTAAGGAAGTTGTACCTGAAAGCAATACTTAGACAAGATATTGCTTTCTTTGATAAGGAAACCAACACCGGAGAGGTCATTGGGAGAATGTCAGGGGATACAGTTCTCATACAAGATGCTATGGGGGAAAAGGTAACTCATTATCGACACTCTTGATAGTTCTTAGTCTTGACCATCTTTTTTTTTTTTTTTTTTTTTTTTTTATATATGTATAAGTACTCTTCCAGGTTGGAAAATTTCTACAAATGATATCGACTTTTATTGGAGGCTTTATCATTGCGTTCATCAAAGGGTGGCTTCTTACTCTTGTCATGCTATCCTCCATACCTCTTTTGGCAATTTCCGGTGCAGCTATGACCATCATTGTTTCAAAGATGGCAACAAGGGGGCAAGCTGCTTATGGAAAGGCAGCGACTGTCGTACAACAGACTATAGGCTCAATCAGAACTGTGAGTTCCATTATGTATACACACACAGATATATATACACTCTGCACACACAAGATTGGACCCTTAAAAATCATCTTCTCTTCTAGGTGGCGTCATTTACAGGAGAGAAAAAAGCCATTGCAAACTACAATATAGCTATTGCAAGCGCCTATAGGTCTGGAGTTCATGAAGGATTGGCTGCTGGGATGGGGTCGGGTGCATTAATGCTTGTTGTCTTTAGCAGCTATGCTTTAGCCATATGGTTTGGCTCAAAGATGATACTTGAAAAAAATTACACTGGGGGTACTGTCCTTAATGTCATCGTGGCTGTCTTGGTTGGATCCATGTGAGTTTGTTCCTTTGAACTCGTTTGGATTTAAAATAAATTAGACGTACTTATTTCATTCTTAATACGTAATTGCATATTCTTTACTTAATGTATGTAGGTCACTGGGGCAAGCATCCCCTTCCATGAGTGCATTCGCTGCAGGCCAAGCAGCAGCCTACAAGATGTTTGAAACTATCAACAGAGAACCAGTGATTGATCCATATAACCACAATGGAAAAGTATTAGATGATATTCAAGGGGAAATTGAGTTGAGAGATGTTCATTTCAGCTATCCAACTAGACCCAATGAACAAATTTTTAGTGGCTTTTCTCTTTCAATTTCAAGTGGCACAACTGCAGCCTTAGTTGGACAAAGTGGAAGTGGGAAATCTACGGTGATTAGCCTTATAGAGAGATTTTATGATCCACATTCTGGGCAGATTCTAATTGATGGGATCAATCTCAAAGAATTTCAACTAAGATGGATTCGACAAAAAATTGGCTTAGTTAGTCAAGAGCCTGTTTTGTTTGCTTCCTCGATTAGAGATAATATTGCTTATGGGAAGGATGGAGCAACAGAGGAAGAAATAAGAGTTGCAAGTGAGCTTGCAAATGCCTCCAAGTTTATAGATAAATTGCCTCAGGTTTGATATTTTTCTCCCATACTTTGTAGTAAAAATCTATCAGAAATTGAAAATGACAGTTTCAGCATCATCTTTCTATCTTTACAGGGGCTAGATACCTTAGTAGGTGAGCATGGAACTCAACTGTCTGGAGGACAAAAGCAAAGAGTGGCCATAGCAAGGGCCATTTTGAAAGATCCGCGAATTCTACTACTTGATGAGGCTACAAGTGCATTGGACGCTGAATCTGAGAGAATTGTGCAGGAAGCATTAGATAGAATAATGACTAATCGAACTACTATTATTGTTGCCCATCGCTTGAGTACCGTACGAAATTCTAGTATGATTGCAGTCATCCATCAAGGGAAGGTGGTTGAGAAAGGTAGTTCTGCAATTTGATTGTTACACTCCAATATTTTTGTCCCTTCTAATAGTTTGCAAGTAAGGCCACATAAATCTGGTTCCTCCTAAATTCTACAGTGGCTGGGGTAGTAGTTGTTAGATCAGTCATTGAAGATACTTTTGTTGTTTTTTCGGTGGATAATTTTGGTTCCTTTTGTGGTATTATTATACTTGAATATCCTCGATAACTCTGTAGGGTTATCGTGAAAGCTGGTAATTTGGTTTCTTTTTTGTTATCAATGAATTGGGATCACACTCTAAACTACTAATTATTACCTATGAATTAGGATCTCACTCTGAACTACTTAAAGATCCCAAAGGAGCATACTCCCAACTAATTCATCTACAGGAAATGAGAAAAGAGACTGAACAAGCTGGGAATATTACAGAGATATCAAGAGAGTCAAGTCAAAGAATATCATCCTTACGATCATTAAGTCGTGGATCCTCTGAAAGAGTGAGCAGCAACCATCACTCGTTCTCAATAAAATCAGGAGTAGGAGTAGACCTTCCTGAGAGTTCCTTCCTAGAGCCTCAAGGTTCTGTTTCCGTTTCTGTTTCAGAAGAGCATCCAAAAATTTCAATCTGGCGTCTTGTGTCTCTTAATAAACCGGAAATCCCAGCACTTGTGCTAGGAGCTATATCTGCAAGTGCCAATGGTGTCATTTTTCCTATTTTCAGCATACTTTTATCTAGTGTGATCAAAATGTTTTACGAGCCACCTCATCTACTTAGAAAGGATTCAAGATTTTGGGCCATAATGTTTTTGGTCCTTGGTCTGGCATCGCTTGTGACAAATCCAGCCCGAGCTTACTTCTTTTCCGTGGCTGGCTGTAAGTTGATACAACGAATTAGATCGATGTGTTTTGCTAGAGTGGTCCATATGGAGGTTAGTTGGTTCGATGAGTCAGAGAATTCAAGTGGTGCAATTGGTGCAAGGTTGTCTACTGATGCAGCAGCTGTACGTGCTTTGGTTGGAGATGCTTTAGGTCTGCTTGTTCAAAATATTGCAACTGCAATTGCTGGTTTGCTGATTGCTTTCCTGGCAAATTGGATTTTGGCGTTCATTGTTCTTGCGTTAATACCCTTAATAGGTCTTAATGGATATATCCAAATGAAATTCATGAAGGGATTCAGTGCAGATGCTAAGGTTCTCTCTCACACTCACACAAACACAAAACATAGCTTTAACTTTTATAAATAAATCTAGAATATGTTTCTGATTTTTCTTTTCTCTTTGGTATTTTTTGTAGAAAAAGTATGAAGAAGCAAGCCAAGTTGCTAATGATGCAGTTGGGAGTGTAAGAACAATTGCTTCTTTTTGTGCTGAGGAGAAGGTAATACAATTGTATGAAAAGAAATGTGAAGCCCCTCTGAATGCTGGTATAAAGCAAGGATTAATTAGTGGGGCAGGCTTCGGAGTGTCCTTTGCTTTGCTTTTTTTTGTCTACGCCATCAGTTTCTATGCAGGAGCTCAACTCGTTGGCCACGGAAAAACTACCTTTGGTAAGGTCTTTCGTGTAAGTATCTACTATTCTTGAGAGATCATATCTGTTGTCTTTCAAAATTTTGTATAAAAGTCTCAACTTCCTTTTTTTTTTTTTTCCTTGTTTTAAATAAAATGTCCACTATTGCAGGTTTTTTTTGCACTTACCATGGCAGCATTAGGTATATCACAATCTAGCTCTTTTGCACCCGATAGTAGCAAAGCCAAGAGTGCTGCCGCATCCGTTTTTTCAATCCTTGATCGCAATTCTCAAATAGACCCAAGTGATGAATCTGGGATGACCTTGGATGATGTAAAGGGTGAGATTGAGCTTCAACATGTGAGCTTTACATATCCCACTCGACCAGACATCCAAATTTTTAGAGATCTAAGCTTGACTATTCATGCTGGGAAGGTAATGTTTGAACCAAAGATGTATATTTCTTGCCTATAATTACTGAGGATTTTACATTTTTAGTATTGCATGTCTCTAATTTTATCTTTGGATTAGACATTGGCTCTTGTAGGAGAAAGTGGGAGTGGAAAATCAACTGTCATCTCACTCGTGCAAAGATTTTATGATCCAAATTCTGGCTGTATTACCCTTGATGGAATTGAAATTCAAAAATTCCAGTTACAGTGGTTAAGGCAACAAATGGGCCTTGTAAGCCAAGAACCTGTTCTTTTCAATGATTCGATACGTGCCAACATTGCTTATGGAAAAGGAGGCAATGCGACCGAGGCCGAAATCATAGCGGCTGCAGAGCTCGCCAACGCTCATAAGTTCATCTCTAGCTTGCAACAGGTACAAAATCTTTAATTAATCTTTAATATTTTTATATCAAAGCTCATAAGCTTTTAATTTCCAATCAAATGCACAATGTTGTAGGGTTATGATACAATTGTTGGTGAACGTGGAGTTCAATTATCGGGCGGACAGAAACAAAGAGTTGCCATTGCCCGTGCAATAGTAAAGAATCCAAGAATCCTACTCTTGGATGAAGCTACTAGTGCATTAGATGCTGAATCTGAAAAAGTTGTGCAGGATGCACTAGATCGAGTGATGGCGAATCGAAGTACAGTAGTAGTTGCACATCGATTATCTACTATAAAAAACTCTAATGTGATTGCAGTGGTAAAAAATGGGGTCATTGTAGAGAAAGGTAAACATGAAACTCTAATTCATATCAAAGATGGAGTGTATTCATCCTTGGTTGCTTTGCACATGAGTGCATCTACGTGACTCCATAATTGATCTATCCTCCAACAAAATTTTGACAATCAGTTTCAGTCTTATTAAGTTTAGGATCCTTGCAACTGTTGCAAGGCATGGAACTTTATTACATAGTTTGTATTTGAAAATTTTATGTACTTGTGGAGTACTTAAAAGCTTAGACGTGGAATAGAGGGACAAAACTACGAAGTAACTCAATTTTATGAATTGAAAAGTTAGAAAAATTTGTCAATTGCAGTCATTTAAACTATATATTTTGTCAATTGCAGCTTTTAAAAAAGGATCTTGCTAACGAAAGCCCCCGGTCATTAGATAAGCATTTAGAATATCTTGTAAATGGGTGTTAATTTGGGAAGCATGATAAAATCACGCGTCGATCCTTATTTTTACCTTTTTTTAAAAAAAGAAAATCCTTATTTTTACCTAAAAAATTTTTTTTTATAATTTTTTTAAGATAATTATTATATTATATTATATTATACTCCATATTTTATATGGTATCATGGATTTACGAGTGACTATTTGGCTTCCAAATATAATTACTCCCGGTTAAAGAGAACTCCGTATTGTATAATTTGCTTAAATTTTTACTCTTCTTCAAAATTATTCAGATCTAAATAGCATTGTAATTAATATTCTCTCTGTCCCTATTTTATTGCCCCATTTGACTATACACGGTCTCCAAGACGCGTCTTAAAACGTCTATATCTTTATGTCCATATATGTGAAAATTATAAAAATGTGATATTAATAAAATATACAACAAGACGAATCTAACAAGACCACTCAGGACTATATTATCATTTATAGATTAACGGTAATTTATGGATAAAGTTTTCAAAGTTTGACTCAAAAAATGGCAATGGGGCAAAAATAAAGAAACGTGGGGAGTAGTTAAGTTTCTAAAAGTTCGTCAAAATTATCAATTGATGCACATGGACCGTTTAGCATGCAAATTGCTAATCGAGTTGAGGTTTACATATTTTTATAACAAAAGATAGAATTAGGCGCATTTTTGTATTATTGGTGTGGTCAAATGTAATGAAGTTGTTGGTAGAGTCTAATAATTTTTTTTTTTTTTATGATGTGTACTGTAATTCTATGTAGGTTTTTTTTGTTTCTACACTAAAAACAAATTACACTGATTGCTCACACCTAAAGAACAACACTTAAAAAACTAAAAATAAGATTAAATGAATTGCTTATAATTAAAGTAATTAAAATCAAGTTTTAAAAAAAAAAAAAAAAAAAAAACTTAAAATCAAATTATATTACGGAGTACTGTTTTTCACCAAAAATATTTTTTTTTTTTGGTAATTTTGACAAAAATCCAATTTAAAAAAAATAGAATGAAAATGTGAGTACTCCATACTTTGTGTGGCCTGGGATTAAAGCAAAAACCTAATATAACCCCCGTTTTGAATTAGTTGCAACTTTGAGGTCGACACGGATTTTAATATAAAATTTCATAATGGTTGATTAATGAATTAAAGATAGGAAATTAAGCAAGTTAGGAGAGAGAAAGTAAAAGTAATTAATAAATTAACCACCACCACCAACAGCACCCACCAGGGCCACCACCACCAACAGCACCCACCAGGGCCACCACCACCAACTGCAGCCACCTCAAAACCACCCACCTCACACCCTGAAACCACCGCATCTCAACCCGAACCAGCCCGAAACCACCCCCACACACATGAACAACCGTAAAACCACTCCCTCTCCACCTGAACAACCCCGAAATTACCCCTTCTTAGCTCAAAAAAACCCCAAAATTACCCCCTATTAGCTCAAACCACCTTAAAACCACCCTTTCTCAACTCAAACAACCTCAAAACCGTACCTTCTCGGCGCAAACCATCCCAGAGCAACCACCCTCACTCACCCCCCCAAAACCATCCACATTCACCCTAAATCGCCCCTACTACCTCTACTCACCCTGAACCACACCGAAACCATTCTAATTCACCCATAAATCACCTCGAGCCACCCCAAACTAGCCCACCCACCCCTCAAACCATTAGATCTGAACGAATTTGTTTTCAAAATAAAAATAAAAAAATAAAAAAATAAAAAGAAGAAGAGAGATAGAGAGAGAGAAAGGAGGAGGAGGAGGAGGAGGAGGAGGCGACTTTGACGGTGGTGATGAGCATTGACGACGTTGAAGGTAGTGATTAGATGTAGCGACGACGACGGTAAAGGTGGGTGATGCCGTGGTCTGATTTTTTGGTGGAAGATGAAGATGGGAGATAATGATCTTTGATGGTTGTTGATATTTTTGGGTGACAATATTTAGTTAAATAAGTTAGACTAGGAATTTAATGAAATTTGATTTAGGTAATAATTGTGTTTATGAACTCTTTAGTAAAGATATTTTTATACTTTCATTGAAAAAAACTTACTAAAAAGGGAAAAAATGGAAAGTTGCAATTAATGTGTAGCACCTCTAAATGGCAAAAGTTGCAACTAATATGTAACGGAGGTAGTAATTAACTTTCCTTTGTCTAGTCTTCTCAACACCTGTCAAAGTAAAAAAAGGTGACAGGAAAAACACCCTTTCCTCCATCCCAATACATCTATCTTTTTCGAGAAACAAATTTTTATACATTTTTAGGAATTTTGGGTATTTCCTATTGATGTTTCAAATGCTCAAATACGGCAAAACATTAGATAGCACAAATGTTCAAGAACAAAAGAACACTTATAATAACTACTCCATTCATTTAAAAGATTAATAAAATAGATACAAGGTATGCTCTGCATTACACACTTTCAACATGAGCATCATATAATTCATATTGGATTGACGTTGAAGTAAGAATAGGCCCTGAAACTCTTACAAAATTGAGGTAAGATACTCACTGAATCTATTGGTTAACAAAATTACAAGACAACATAATTCTGCAAAGTATAACTAAGTAACTAACGAATTTCTTCTGTTTCTCCCTTGAGCATAGTAGTTTGGTTTGCTATTCCAAATTTTACAAAGTCTCTGTCGGGATCAAATCCATCAGAAACAACATATTTGAATTTCTGTAAGAAGGGAAAAAAACAATACCATTGAAAGGGGAGTAATTGTTGTAAATAAAGGGGTAGTCTAGTACAAATAGTATAAAAATATTTAAGTAAGATCGGAAAGATGATCTCACAAATAATGGAACAATATCGGTGTGTCGTGAAGCTAATCACTGACTTGAAAACAAAATTCCGGCGCAACCAAGGTGCTCAAGTGTATTCGCCGGCTCGTTCCCTGAGGTTAACACACCACTTCCACACAAAGACACTTTTGGGTGGAAGGTTGGAGTTAAGTAACTTATGCCTAATAGAGAATGTGTTTAAGATATTGTATTTGATGTATTTTTTCAAGTGTATAAAACATAAAAAAGGCTTCTTCTATTTATAGAAAAACATACAAGAAGAATCCCAGCAAACATCAAGGGAGGTGAATAATCAGAATACTGGTGATAATTAATCACCTAAAACATCCTCTTAAAAGGGGGGTTATAAGAGTTACACAAGAGTATAACAGTGGTGATTAATCACCTTAAACTTCCACTTAAATGGGGGGTTATGAGAATTACTCAAGAAATTAAGAATGGGAAGTAACGCCTTGAATTCCCTTTCTTTATTCCAACAAAAGAGACAAAGAAAGCTAATCCTGAAGCCAACATACTTCATATTATGAGTGGAAGAAGATACCTCTAGAAATGCCTCTCTAGTTGAGTTAGACCCATCATGTTTACGGTTGAACAAAATTATCCGAAAAACCGAAAACCCAAACTACAACTGAATCGAAAATTAGGGTATCCGTTCCAATAACTATAACGGTTCGGGTACCCGATCCGATAATTTGTTATCGGGTACGGTTATTCATTTTAAAATTAACGGTTACCCGATCCAATTCGATAAGTAATTTTTTCTTTTTTTCCTACTTAAATCTATTTATCCAAAATCTAAACTCTTACTTTACTTCATAATCAATTCATAATTTAAATGATCAATAATATTATTAATAATTTGGTCATGATCATGTGGTATTATTGATAATTAGTGTTGAATGATATCATAATAACTAAATTTTAAAGTCTAAATTTTCATTATTGGATATCATATTGGGTACCTGATAACCGATCCGAAAATCCGGGGACCCGAAATTCGGGTACTCTAACTTATTGATTCGGTTAATGAATATCATTTTTAGTGTTATTTGTTATCGGGTACCCGAACCGTTAGTGTCAACGGTACGGGTACCCGACCAATGCTCACCCTTAATCATATTACTCGCCAAGAAATGAACCATTTGTTGCAATTTATCATGAACATCATTACAAAATAAATTAGTAAAAATAATTAGGGAGCACGTGCTAGGTATATTAAAGTAATTAATTAAGTTAGAGAAGATTAAAAAATGGTGAAAATTGGTTAAAAAAATATTAAAATAATAAAAATGCACTTTTTCTCCAGAATCTCTGTCCTTCGATGTCATTTATGACATTTTCTGCACCAAACTTAATAGTATGTGATGTAGAGTGCACCCGATTAAGGTTGTGCTATTCTCTGCACCCAACCTATAATTGGATTAATTGGTGCTATTGAGGCCAATTTTGTCTTTTTTATTTATAAATTAATTTTATTGTTAAATGATTAACCAAAGTTAGTGATCGAGTTGGAGGTCAATTGTAGGGAAATAAGAAGAAAATAGGGTGGGATTAGTTAAAAAAAAATGACCATGTGCATGTCACATAGGGGTCAATGCCGAAAACTCGAAAAGTGACCATTGGTTGGTTTCAACAATTTTTTGGACAAAAAAATTGCTTTAAAAGATTATTTTTAAGAAGAATGATTATTTAACCATCAACTATTAATAATGTTATAAACATGAAAATAAATGTATATAATTGCAAATCACAAAGTACACCATAAATACGAAGTATAAATCTCAAGGTTTTAAGAAAGTAGGACAAAAATACATTTTCTTAAAAAAAAAAAATAAATAAAATTCAAAATACTCCGTATAGAATAGGCGTGTTCTTTTTACAGTTTTACGTCACGACTCTTACCAGTACAGTATCATTTTTTATCTCCTTTGGAGCTTTCACTTTTACGCTGCACACTTCCTTTCTCTCTCCTTAACTGAAGCGCGCGCATTCTCTGAATTTTCCATTGAAGCGGCTTCTGAGCTTTCTATCCTCCATTGAAGCAGCTTCTGAGGTAAGATATTTAAATTTCTTTTTCAAAATAATCGAACTTCAATTTTCACAATCTAGGGTTTATCGTTGCTTAATTGTCAGTATAGTCATTTTAGGGTTCTTCTAAGCTGGATTACTGAATTTTTGGTTATAATTACTGGAGTTATAAAAGATAATAACGTTCGATTTGTTGCTAGAATTTTGCTACTTGCAATTTTCGTTGATATTCTTGACCGAGAAGAATTTAATGTGATTTTTGGAGCCTAGTTTGATGATTTAACCAAGTTTGGTTGCTAATGTGCTTCAGGCTGTTGTTCTTAACCCTTTGTTGTAGAACCTTACTATGAAAATGGGCCTTTTTAACCCTTAGCTTGATAATTGTGCTTAGCTGAAGTGTTTTTCCATTTTCAGGTTTAGGGTTTGGAATCAGCAATTTGTTCAAAGTAAGATGAGTTGTTGTCCAAGTTCTGGATTCAATCATCAACCATGTAGCCAGTCTCAGAAGATGTCCATTGGGATAGTCGTTGAGTCCGTTGCCAAACCTCATTGTGGATCGATGAAAGAAGCTGGTGTTTCAATCAGCCAGGCACAGAAGGAAGCGTCTGTAGGAGGATATTTGACGGCAAAGCACAATGTGCATAGTGGAAATAAGGCCTCTAGTACTGTCCCTATGTGTAAAAATGATGCTCAGGAGGGTTCTGTAATGGTTACAGCCAGAAATCAGATTGAAAACCAAACATCTAGGCCGGCTACAAGTTTATTACATGGAAAGCAGCCAGCACAAATGATGCAATCCTCTGTGAACCAAGTATTGTTAGAACCTGTTGTTGGCAATATAACAGAGTCGGAAAAGGCTTCTGGGAAGGCTAGCAAGAGGGCCTCTATGGATGAACCATCCCAGAAATTTTCTTGTGCACCCAAACAGCAAGTGTGCTTGCCAGCCAAAGAGGTGCTGCCAGAGCAGCCAATCGAAACCGAGAACAGAAACAAAGAAGTTCTGAGGATGAAGCTGCGGGAGATATTAGGAACTGTTCCTTCTGGTAACAAGATATTAGGTGATTCAAGGACTTGTGAGGCAAATGATAATGAGATGATGAGAGAGCACATTCTTAAAGGTGATGCCCATTCCAAGCCTTGGGAGGATTCTGATACTATAGAAAATGATTCTGAGTATGTTGTCATGACAACTAAGAGACCGGTGACTCGTTCTCTTGCCAGAAGGAGGGCCCCTGCTAAGATGCGACCAAGGAACTTTAAGCCAAATTCGTTATCTAGTGAGAAAGAGAAGCATCCAAGCAGTGATATCTTCTCTTTCGCTGAAAAATCTGCACCTTCAATACCTTGTGCAGTTACTCAGGGTTTCTCAACTGTTGAGAAAAATGTTCGTACCAAAAGGAGTTGTGGAATCGAGGCAGGGGACATGCTATCTCCTATTACAGACTTGAGAAATGTCCAGACAGAGATAATTGGGTGTGAAAAGGAACCACCTATTGTGGATTCGCCAAATGTTGGCGGAGTTCTATTTTCTAAACATGGCTGTCTTGATGATAATCTTGAACCGGAGGCAGCAATGAAGGACATTGATTGCAACCACTCTCCTGTAGCCAGAGAGAAAAGTCAGGTGCCTGATGCTGAAAGTCCAGCTACACAGGAAAAGTCACAGTTTTTTGAACACTTTGGTGGTCAATCTCCAGTGCCCCATGTTGATGATTTGAGTTGTCCATGGTACGAAATGACAAATACTGTTCTGAATTCTCCTCTGCACACATATTCACTAACTTATGCTAAGAAGCAGAATGTTCATGGATCTGCTCAAGCAGAGGCAGGGATTCTTTTCGAAGATAGATGTTTTTTCAAAAGTAGTACAGCCTCAGAGAAGGATAACTTTGAATCTCCTGTGAGGACACGAATTCGACTCTTCTTTTAAAGATATTAGTATTAGACTATCTTGCTTTTATTCATGCATATAGGCCCTTTTCTGTTGAATTATCAGGATGATGCGGCTAAATTTGAAGACCGAAATTCCAGTATCCCAGAGTCATCTACAGAAGAGAAGGATGTTGGAAATGGGCTGTTTACTCGAATGAGAGGAGAGCTTGATAGTACTGAGGAGGTTTCATCTTCTAAGAAAGGTTGTCCTCTTTCATTCTTTTATGTTGTGCTTTCCCTTGCTTATTCATTCATTAAGTCAACCGAGGATGCAGAAAAATAGGGATTAACAGTTCTAGGCACCTGAAAGAATTGCTTAATTTGCTCCTTAAAACAATTCCACCATTTTGGAATGTGAGTTATTCCTTCATGGAGAAATCTGAAAAAGGGTTTCTTTTAATTATTCATGGAGCATTATGTTGGTCTAAACAGGTGGCAATGTGGCATGCTTTGCTTTTGTTATGACTTAGCCCTTTTTAATATCACTTGCTTTTGTTATGATAAGCCTTTTTTATTTTATTTTATCTTTTTTAAAATCAATTTTGCTACTGTTATAGTTGATGCAGTGTTCTTCTACCTGACTGATCATTTATCCCATCTCCTTTGGTATGAATACACATTTTATTAAAGATGTACAAGTGACTAATAATATCCTTCATTGTAAATTATCATATTGGTGTTAGACACATGACAATTTATGGAATTAACTTGCTTTAGACACATTTGTTACCTACTCGCATATGAGTAAGTTCAATTTTAGATATAAGCCTATTTAGTGAGTCGTTTCTAATAGAAACTTTAAAAGCGTTCACAGAATATTGACATGGGTATGCAAGGCTATTTGAAAATGAATGCCATCATTGTTTTCGTTTTAATGTAAGAGAGATGGGGGGGGGGGTGTTAATTAAACTAGCCATTAGGAGACTATTGATTGCAAGTTTCTGGATGAAGAGGGTCTGCAATGGCAGATCTATAGTCAAATTTAAACAAGGTCCAGGTTCTTGGGAGAGCCCCAAAGTACAATGCCTTGTGCAAATAGATTAAGTGATCAGATTCAGTAATGGGGCCTGAGAGAGAATCTCTTCAACCCTTTTTTGTGCGGCTATGTGTCCGGCAATTCTGCTTGTATCTATCACTAAGGCTAAAATCAAGGAGACTGGCATCGATCCTAATTGTAATGATATGACTAGTGCCTGATATCGCTAAAATAAGCTGTCTATTCCATGACCCTTCAACTTTAAAGGGCTTTGTGGAAGGGTTAAATTGGATTGAGTTCAACACTTTACTTAGATCACATATTGAATGCCTTAAATTTATTTATTATATGTGTTTATTTATGAAATATGGACTTTCTTGGGCAGTCTATCCAGAAGTAGATGATGTTCACGCATCTCCAGAGAATGGAAGCAGGGTTGTTCAGAGACCTGTGCTTGGCCGAAGCAAACGGCATTGCAGTCGCGATGTTGACTTTGGTGATTTTAGTCGTACCTTGCATACTCCAAAAGGTAAACCTCAGTGTTTTTCATTGTTCTTTTATGAGCTAGGGTCTTTTGCTTTAAAGATGATTGACCTTTTGGACTTGGCTTTACATTTTAATATCTTTTGAGTTTGCAGAAAGTGGTTATGCTGGTGATGTGTTTACAAAATGTTTAAATGAAAGTCCAGAGGACGGATTAGCAAGGTTATTCAAATATTCTTCTCATCTTCAAACTTGGAATAACAAAAGAAATTATTTGTAAAAAAATTTATCCCACCCTGATTTGCAAGTGATGCTAGTTTTTCTTGGTGGTTTTTCAGAGTGGTTTCTCTATTAGGTTTGGCTTTAGAAAAGGTTAAAACCAAAATGATTTCATTGACAAACAAAAAATGTTCTGAAATAATGGTGTCTGCCACCAAAGAAATACATTCACAGCTGCTGAATGTTGAGTCTCAGATTCAGACAGATTTGTGAGTACTCTTAGTCTGAGAACTTGACCATCTATCATTGTTATTTTGATTTTCATTTCCTTAGTCTAATCTCTGTTTATGATTTAGAATGAAACTTACAAGCCTCAAGACATCTAAAAGGAAACATTTGGAGACAAGGCTTCAAGGTAATTTGATATAAATTAGTTCATACTTCATAGAGTCGTTATCTAATTGAGACCTTATTTGATGAACTATAAATTAATTCTGTGGTGCTGTTTTTCAATGCTTGACCTTTTCTAGAGGATTAACTTCACACCTGTAAGTGAGCATAACACTTCTGTTTTGTAATCATGCAAAATGTTGTGAAGTGGATGGAATTGGAGCTTAGGGATCTCTAACTGATCAACTAAGTGTATTTTGTAAGATATGTCTAGAGAAATTCTCCAAATGTATTGATAATCACTTTTGTTAATCTTTTTTTCATTTTAACATGAAGTGCATGAACACCAGCTTTTAATATATGATTGGACAATGCCAGTCACTGAGAAATTTAAAGAGCTAAATGCTAAAATACATTTTTGTTAGCAAATGTTATAGAAATATTAGTTGGTCAAACTTTCTTAAAAGAATGAAATTAGATTTGAAATTTTAGTCTTTCACCCTATCATGTCAAATTAGTCGAGGCATCTGAGTGGGGTACATCATCCCTTCCCTCTTCCACTTATGCATTGTATAGTAGGTCTCCTTACCTCTTGTTATGATGCCTTTATATTTTACTTTTAGTTCTTTCCTAGTTTTATTAAGATGCCTCCCAAATAGTTAAATTAGGCTCTATGAAAATTTGAGGGCAGCTTAATACCGACTGCCCAGACGGCCAGACCATGTTATTGGCAATTCAATTACTGGATTAACTAGAATTAGTCTATTTTATCAAGTTTAAGTTTCCTCATATGTCTGACTATTGGTATGTAATACAGAACAACAGGAACACCTAAAGATTATACATGAAAAGTTCAAGGAAGAGATCTGTCAATACCTTCAAGACTGCCAAGGTACCATGGAAGGGCTGGAAACACAGCATCTTGAGCTGCAAGGGGTTATAGAAAGGCAAAGTATGATAACTTCATCCTAGACTTCTCATTTCGTTTTCAATAAGCTACCTCTAAAATGAGCTGGCCTTCAGATTATTTGCTTAACTACTTATTTCCTACTTCCTACTAATTGACACGTTTCTTTTTTGCGTTCTTATTAATGAGATTTCAGATAGAAATATAAAAGACTAAAACACTGTAACCCACCTGCCCTCTCCTTAAGTCCTTAGCCCTTCATCATTAGCCAACTGGTCAGTCATCCCCGCCCCCACCGCCGGCTTCACTACCCCCACAGCCACCTTCTGTCTTCCATTTCTTTACCTTCGTAAGGTGGGCTCGAAATTGTACTTGTAAAATTATGGAGATTCAAAGAATTTCAGCTTGAATTTTACAGTTTCAGTGATTATTTCTCCTCTTCCTCCCCACAACCCAACAGGCCAACACAAGCCATCCCGCAATTAATACCCAAAAAACCCATCTCCTTTCTCCTTCAGAAATTAGAATTCCACCTTCACAATGAATACCTTTTGGTAGATGTGAGGCCCTTCATGTTGGTTCTGCTGCTACATTAGAACATTAACAAAAATCTAACTCAAAAAAAAAAAAAAAAAGAAAAAATAATAATAAAGATGTAAAAACTTAACCAAATTAAGCTGGTAAAGTCGGTGTCGAAGGGGAGGAGGGAACTTGGAAGTGGTAAGCAATAAAGCACCATGGCAAAGGAGAGAGAAAATTGGTGGTGATGGCAGTGAGGGAGGACTGGAGGAGAGAGAATATGGGCCATGGTGGTGGGCTGGTGGCCGTGAGAGAGGATGGAGTGGGTTTGTTATGGGAGAGGAGAGAGAATAGTGAGGGTAAAAATGACATTTTCCAAACAAACTTTACCCAAATAGAAATGTGTTAACTAGAAAGAAATTTCCCCAAAAGGAATAATTGTCGACTGATATGGAATGCAGGAAGTATTTATATGAAGACAACATGGTGTGATACATCGATCTCATATGGGCATGTGTATCAGTTATTTCTAAATACGGATTAATATATATCAGTTCCATTATATGATGTTGACATGCTGCACTAATTAAATAAATTACAATACTGAAAGTTGGAATATACGCTACCACGACATTATATGTATGTATAGTTGCTACTGTCAGTTTTTGTTATTATATTGGTGATGTAGAAATAGGAGTCTTTGATTTTTGTTTTTATATTTTCTATTGATATATCATGCTGGTGTATTAGCCTACTGGATGACTGCCCTGACAGGACTACTATATAGTGGCGAATCTGTTAAAATGGATTGTTTGGTCGCAAGTTGAACATAAGCCAACTCCAATTGCATAATAGCAGTTGTGTATTTCCCATTAGTTTTGCATACAGTGGATGATCCTGATTGGAGTTTTGAAATTCATAATTAGGCTTTGATGTGCAATGGTATTAGGTATATCATAAGAAAATTAATTTTCTTTTGGGATTCCACTGCTCTCTTGTTTTAAATGACACTAGTAAATGCACAAGGATTATCAACACTAGTAAATGCATAAGGATTATTGACACTGTAAATTAGATAATTTTGCTGTTCTGTGATGCTTAAATCCTTATTTTGGTCAGAGGTATTACATAGGAAACTTCTTTTGCAAACGGAAGCAGCAGTGGAGACCCATCTCATTGATGCACAAAAACAAATGATGCTTATCCGTAAGGTAAGTCTACTACTATATTTTAATAGCATATTTGATTATTAATGCATCTGAATAAGATATTTGCATCAAAACGCTTTGTATAAATGGTTCTGCTTCTTCTCAGGTCTTATCTTTATTATTCCTTTTGCTTGAATTTTTAAAAAAGAATTATATTGAAAATTTGAGAAACCCACACTTAAAATTATCTACTTACCACGATTCCCATGTAGACTTGATCATGGGTCGGGCTGGGCTTTAGTGAAAAAAGCCCTTTTGTGCCAAGATTTGGGTGGGGCCCAAGGTCGGGCCAAAAAACTTGTGCCCAAACCCGCTATTTCTGGCCAATGATAGCAGGATTTTCAGGCAGGGGCTATTAACTAAATGCGGAGTATAAATTTCAAGTTGCTCAAAACCCAAATTTGGGCCAACTGGCCCAATCTTGACTTTGGGCCTATATTTCCTGCCCAAACCTGGAAATTTTGGGTCGGGCCAGGTATGATTCTAGTCCCATGTCATAGCGTTTGTTGCTTCTACATCTGTAATAGTTGAAACTTTTAGTTATAGTAGTCAATGTATCATAGAATGGAGGTTGCTGTCTAGCTGCTGACTAATTCAAGCTCCTACATATGTTTTATGCTTTCTATAGAATGGAATACTCTTTCTTGGCTTCCCTAACATGAATCTGATTGTTAAATATTGCAGCTGGGAAAACAGAAGATGCAACAATTGAAAGCCTCTATTGCTGGATGTTTATAAGATGGATTTTCCTGTTGACCGGTGAACTAAGATGCCTTGTATTAGGTGGCTATATATTATTTTTGATTCTAGGTTCTCATGTATGGCTTGGATTACCCATTTACACGGAGGTTGTTTTGTAATTAAGAGGAAGTTCCTAATTCTAAAGCCTAGTGCCTACTTGATCCTGAACTAGGGCCAGATAAGTATTCCTATGCCATCTAAGGTCAATAGCTGTTAACTACAAGGTTTTTGGTACAATTTTGAAGTTTATAGACAACTCCTCGTTGAAAAAAAAAAATTACACATGAATGGGTTGTATATGATAACCTGTTCGCTGTTAACCAACTCAACATGCATACTTTTATTTCAGCTTATTTTCTTGTGATGTGGGCACCATACATACTTGTGATTTCTGATTTGTGAATAGGTTATTTTATTGCTGGTTTAAGTTTGTTGTAAAGGATTGTTCCTACTTGTAGGAAAAGAGATTTTTCAGTACCTTATACTATTGTCTTAGCTCTTTTGATTTTGCTAGTAGACGATGTAATAATGTTGCTCACTCCATGGCCAAGTTGATGTGAATCGGGTGACCCTTTCTTATAACAATTTTTATTGCTTTATTTAGGTACTCTCGTGATTTTACCTTACTCTTAAAATGGGGATTTTACAAGTGAGTTTTTAATAATGTTTTTATTATTGATGTGATTTTACCGGTGGTTATTCTTAAAGTGGGGGTCTTACAAGTGAGTTTTTAATAATTGTTTCTATTATTGTTGTGGTTTTAGTTTAGTTATGGGCATTGGTTTTGATAAAACTAGTGCTTACCTGTTGGTGCCTTTTTGGTTATTTCTACTAGTGTTATTCACCTACTTTCTCTTGTACTTTTTGTAACCAACATACTACATACCCCATTAATATGAAGTACTCTATCTCTTCAATCCATAGACGCATTTGTCTATGTACAATTTTGACTAATTTTTAAAGCAAATCTGGCCTCAACAACTCGGAATATATTTTAGTTGCACGTAGCACCACAACTTTGACTAGCAGTTAGAGCGTCACCAAATTTTACCCTATTACCCTTTATTAGCCTTTAACTAGCCCATTAACCTTTGGTTAAGCCTATTTTACCTATGACCCTCAAATTGAGGCGTTCTTGAGATGCAAATCAATGTTTCTGCTATCTTTTGCAAATTTTTACCTCTAAATTTGAACCTTTACGGCAAAATGTCCCCTAAACTTTAACCAGGCAATTTACCTTGCTTAAAAATAGAGGCACATAAATCAAGGTGTTGATGGTAATTTTGATAAATTTGACTTCAAATATGACTTTTCGAGATTAAAATGAAACCTAAATCCTTAACTGATCAATTATCCCGTATTATCCTATATGCTAATCGAGACACACAAACTGATAATATCTAGGCATGCAAAATCAAGCCATATCTAGTAATTTTCTGATTATGTTGGTCTCATTTTGGATCATAAAAGGTCATAATGACCTTAAAACCTTAATCAAGCAATTTTTTCGACATTGAAATAGAGATGATTAATGGCCACACAAACCAAGGCTTTTCTTGGCACGTAAAACACCTTGATTTGCGTGTTATGGGTAAACTATAAGTTAAAAAGAATTATTCAGGGATCAATGGGTTAATTAAAGACTAATGAAGAGTTAACAAGGTTGATGAAAAAAAAATTGTAAATATTTAAGATTACCCGTCTACGATAAATTATTTGGGGTTGAGTTTCATTTATGATGTTTCATACACATAGGGAAAATGTTATTAGTGCTTTGGCTATTAGTCAAAAGTTGTGTTGCTACAACATCCAAATAATAGGTTGTGTTATTGAGACGAATTTTAAATCAAATGCTAAAAGCCTAAAATTTTATTAAACTAGCTATGTTTCAAAATAAGTTACCCATTTTGACTTTTATACTATTCATATGTATTACTTTGACCTTTGTTGGTGCTTTTATACTTTCTTTGTTTTCTTTCAAATGCAACACACTTACTTGGCACACTCTTTTTTTTTTTCTTTTTTTTTTTTTTGTGTTGATTAGAGTAGATAAACAAGTGACTTAATCAAAATAATTTGAACACCAAGATAGAGAAGGGTTAGGTACTACATGTATAAATTATTTTGATTAATATGTCTGTTTACATTGCTTAATCTTTCCCTGAAAAATGCGTGTCAAGGAAGTGTGTTGCATTTAAAAGAAAATAGAGGAAGTACAAAAAAGTAAACATGGCATATTGGTACTTGTTGTATTTAGGGTTGCTGACTAGTCCAAGGTCGAAAATTTTTAATTCAAGAATCGTAAACCGAACCGATTTTTCTTAGACCGGACTTGTAAACTCGGTCCAAAACCAACCGGACCGGGTTGGACCGATTTTGATTTTTTTTTTCTTTATTTTTTTTAATGCCTTTTGTTATTATATGAAAAGAATAAACATATGGATAATAATTAATTAATGTCTATTTTGAACATCTTAGTTTGAATGAAATAACTCATAATAAAAATATTACTCATAATATAATAGTATCATATTGAACGTGCTACCTTCATACAAAACTTTAACCAATAATATCTTTAATTATTATAAGTAAATTACAATAATTAAATATTAACAATCTGGTTTCAAAAAAAAAATCTACTCATTGAGATGATTCCAAGAAGTATCCACTCAATTATTTCTTATGTATAGTTCACAAATATTGGGCGAAGTGAGTTGAGTAAATGTGCTAAAAGTCCCAATGGGGAACTTAAAAAAAAAAAACAGAGTGAGTAAAAATTAAACATTTTACGGGTTTTATGCATATTTTCTTAAACTTTAACCGATTTAGAATCGGACTAGACCAAAGAATGGATTTTTAAATTTCTCGAACCGAAGAATTGACCAGTTTTTTTCAGATCGGCCTGGTTAAAATTTTTCGACTCGGGTCGATTTTTGAACACCCTTAATTATAGTTGACTCAATGCATTTTTTTAAATATTATTGTTTTAAATACTCCCTTCATTTCATTATGAGCCTCATTTACGTATATCAATGCAAATCTTTAATCGCAAATATCTTTAATCTCACATTAGCAATTTTTTTTTAAAAAAAATAGATTTAATAACGTATTCATCGAAATGAGTAAAACTAGATATCATTTTTAGTTATTAAATTCTCTCTATTAAGACTATTAACAAATGTGTCAATTAAATTGAGACATTAATTTTTATTTTTTACAAGAAATTTTTCACATTTAATTTGAAATAGCGGAAGTAGTCGAATTTACTTAAAATACTTCATGACGAAGATAAAAAAAAAACCTTTACTGGTTAATGGAATATACTCTTGCCGTTCCGGTTCTCGAATAAAAGGGCTAAAACGAAGCTACCTCGGGCCTGTCTGCTGTAGGCTTGCAGCTCATCTCTCAATTGCGCTAATCTTTAATTTCAGAATTTAGATCAAGAAATCCAGCAGACTAACAATCTGTAATTCATTCATATGCAACGCCATCTTCGCCATGTCAATACCGAGGGAGCCAGAGCATGTGATGAAGTTGCGAGAAGGATCCGTGCTTGGGAAGAAGACTATCTTGAAGAGCGACCATTTTCCTGGCTGCCAGAACAAACGTCTTTCTCCTCACATTGAAGGTGCTCCCAATTATCGCCAGGTACTGTCCTCAATTATTATTTTCATTACATAATTCACCCAGATTAGGTGAAATTGCTTCATTCAGAGTTCAATTTGTGGAAAATAGCATGCAAAATCTGTTATTTTGAGGACATATTCTTAATCTAGGGTGATCTTATGCTGAATTTATTTCCATAGCCTTTCTTTTGTTTATAGGAGACTATTGCTTTTAATCTAGCAATTAGAGACTAGAGAGTGTTTTTCATTTTGTCGGGAAAATTAATTTTAATTGCTCAAGTAGAGTAGGAACAACGATCTGTTTTAGGAGAAAATCTAAGTTTGTTTTGGGGCAAAATCAATCCAAGTTTATCTTCTTGATAAACAACATTGTTTTGTGGCATAATTGTACTATTTTGGGGGTAAATATTGGTAAACTGCTGCTGGTCGTAGCAGTTTTACCCAAAAACAGCTACTGATGTTTATAGCCAATTTGCCAAATAGCCTATTGTGGAAAGTAGATCAATTTCAGCTACATTTAATTTCAGGTTTTGGGTTATTTAGTTTTAAGTATGGTTTCATTTCAGCTCCATTTTCTATCATCTTCAATGACCATCTCTTGTCAGTTTCTTATAATAGGCATGGTTTTTCATCCAGGTAAGTAATTCAAGAGCAATTTAGGGGCTAGGGTTTATATAAGTTGTAGTTTCACCCAGTGTTCAAAATTAAGGCTTTCAATTTAAGGATTACAGTTCTTCAATTAATTAGGGGGTTTAATTTTGGGGTTTAGGTTAATAAGTGAATGCTTTTTTCTTTGCTAATAAATGGGCATATCTTTTACTTACCAATAGATTTGGAGAAAATTTGCTGAGTTTCAAATGTTTTGATAGTTGAAGAAGAAAGGAGAAATGAAGGAATTTAATGAGAAAGGAAGGAGGATGTTGAAGGAGACAAAAATTTAGGATATAATTGACTTTTTGCATAACAAAAATGAAGGGAACTAGAAAAGTGGGACCCATAGATGGAATACTTAGATGGAAGTTGTTTGTGGTTAGTATTATCCAATTTTTTTTTCTTTTTTTTTTAGGGTAATGAAAGAATAGAATTAGAAGGTAGTTATTCTAGAAATCACATACTCCCTCCATCCTTTTATTAAGAGCCTGTATTCCATTTTTGGGTAATCAAAACTAAGAGCCTATTTCTATTTAAAGATTGTATTTTTTGATTATATTTCCCTCTTTTTGATGAGTTGTCATAAATTTTTACATCAATTTCCAACTCTTTCTCTCTCCCTCTGTTCAATAATTTTCAATCACTTTTTTCTTTCTCCCTATCTCTCTCTAACCCCACATGCACATAAATCCTCTCAATCTTTAGCTTTAAGAAACCTACAATTTTCTTAATTCCCGTGAAAAAACCCAAATAGGCTCTTAATAAAAGGACGGAAGGAATATTTAATAGGTACTCCCTCCATAGTTTTTTGTTCTATTCACTTTCCATTTTAGGGCTTTCTTTTATATTCTACTCACTTTGCTATATTATATTTATGGCATACCCTTGGTACCATCTTACCCCTTTACTCCCATAATAATTACACATTTACACCTTTCTATACTCTCTCTTACTTAACCTAGCTTTTTCTTACGCAAACCCACCTTTTTACATCTCCTTTTTTATTTTATCTTACACCCACTCACATTTGTCAACAATTTCCTAAATTGTACTTGTATATTGGTCGGGCCTATATCAAGGTATCATATTCACAAGGAGGACTAAACAATTACCAGATTAAGAAACTCAAATACTATTTAGACGATGGAAAATATGAGAAAAGTATTACTAAAACTATAAACGATAAAAGTTGTATAATAATAAAAACAACAGTTATGAGAGATAGTTCTAGGTTTCGGGTTTCGTCAAGTACCCTATTATGAAATTAAATTGATTGAATGTAATATAGCAATGATCGAATTACCAATAGTATGTAATCTCCTCTCCCAAGGTAGAAGACGTATATTCATATCAATCTCATGTCTACTCTCGTGATCACAAAAATTGAAATAAAATCATTAAGAACAAGAATTCAATAAAGACCACTCCAAGTGTATAACTATTCTTAAAATTATACTATTTGACGTTTGATAATCCTACGAACTAGTATTGACAGTTCACTCTCGCTAATAAATCAATACCTTAAACATACAATCAATTGGCCAAATTAATCATACGAAATAAAACAAGATTATCAATTTGCAATTATATAAATAAAACCCAAACAAATAATCCAATTCATTGATAGATAATCAAAGACTACATCCCTAACCTAGAACAAAGAAATTTAGCCCGACATCACAATTAAGAAAATACAATCAATAAAAATTAACATTGTCAATTGCATAGACTTAAATAGAGATGGAATAATATCTAATTCAATAGATATTCGAGCAGTTTGCGGTTGACTAAACTGATGAACACTGCTCTTCGAACCCCAATCTGCTCGCCAAAGTTACTGTTTGCTCTGTTTCTCTGATATTCGCCCCATTTATAAACAGTAGGTAGATATGAGGGGTTTCTCCTTTTCGTGGGGCTACTCTTGTGCGTGGATGCTCTCACAAAAATAAGGAACTAATGGGTTTTTTTTTTTTCATTCTTTTGTTTCTACTTGAAATTTAGGAGTCGATGGGTTTCAAACGTTTAACCCATTATTACTTCAAGATGTGTGCTGCTCGTAAGAGTATTATGGGCTTTTGATTGTATTCCCTTTTTTTTTTCTCTCACTTGCATCAACCAGTAAACAATATGAAAAATGGTTTTTTTTTTTTTTTTTTTTAAGTTCCGTTTCCAATTTCTTAACATATTAGCTATTAGGGGTATAATTAACTAACAGTAATCAATTAAGCTAACAAAGTAAATCTCATAATAAGACATTAAAATCTATATAAATACATAATTTGTACTCTAAAATAGTATTAAAATGATATAATAATGTATATAAAAAATGAACTTATCATATATCTATAGTAAGTGAGCAAAACATAAAAGAACGGAGGTAGTATTCTGTAACAAAAAAATCCTATGTATATTTTAAATTAGGAGTCCAAGTAAAATTTGAAAACAATCTATGTGTTGAGGGGTGAGTTTTCGTATGTATTAGCCCTGAATGCTTTGTGTATGGAAGCATCTCTTGAGGCACCGGATATTCGGTTATGATCTTCCCCTTTCAGTCATATCCATTTCTATATATATTTTTAAGATGTGAATGGGATATGTTTCTTTATGCATTTATGCTTTGTAATTGAATTTCACTCTCTTTTTTGTTTTTCATTATATAATATCACTCTATTTTTTTTTTTTTTTTTCCTTTCTCTGTGGTTACCATCAACAGGCAGATTCCTTACAAGTTCACGGGGTTGCTATTCCTACCATAGATGGAATCCGAAATGTTCTTAAACACATCGGAGCCCAACCTGACAAAAAGAGAACTCATGTGTTGTGGATAAATCTCCGTGAAGAGCCAGTATGTTAATTTGTTTTTTCCCTTCAATCCATGTTAATAAATTTTAATCTTGTTGTAGTCTGATATTCAAGTGGTTATGCCTTATGTGTCTCCTTCATTTGTGACTCGGAATGTTGTTTTTGGAGTTTCTTGTCATATTCTCTGGTCCAAGACCACAAAATACATGGCAGTATAACACTTCGTGGTTTCTTGCTTTGGCCTAAGTCCGTGAGGAATATTTCAGGCCTAATTACTTTTTGTGATAATTCCCCTTTACTCCCATGGTTTTCAGTGTTGAACTATTATGCTAAAACTGCTTTCGACAACTTCCAATAAAGTAGGAGGTCTGAAAGATGATCTTTTTGGATGTAATTGGAAAATAGTTTGTCCTTTAATAGAAAAAGTGATTAATTTGTTCAAGAGACTATTTCCCGGTGGCAGATCCAGATTTTGTGTTAAGTAGGTTCAAGTCTAACTCAAACTAAAATTAAATTCAAATGAAAAATGATTAGGAATCAATTTAATTAGAGCAACTCAGTTGGGGATCTAATGATATTCTTCTGTTTTTTAAATGCACCCTTTTCCTTTTTGGCAAGTTGCATATTAATCTTGGTATACTTTCATGCACTTTTTGTTTGTTTTCACACACCAAATACCTATTTTATCCTTACTCACATTTGATATTTACCCTTGTTACCTCAGTTTTACTCTCTCTCCCCTTTGTTTGTAGTCACATGGGCATTATTGTTATTTTACTCCTTTCTTAAACTTTGCGCCCAACCCAAATGGTGCAATTAAAAGAAAACGGAGGCAGTGTATAGGAACTAGGTCAACTTGTCTTCTTATTTGTACTCCTTGTTTGTGGCAATGCATTTATGTGTTTCAAATTTGAAAAAAAAAAGTGGAGAACAATTGGCTATCAAGAGAAATGTGGGGTTTTTTTTTCTTCCTTAAAAGGTTTTTAAATCTGAAGTGATTGTAAGAGAAGGGCAAAGAAAAGGTATTTTCTTTTGAGAAATTTGGGGTGGAAAAGCTTGTTCATTTATACTATGACTATAGGGCTACACTATTTATATGCTTCATATTAAATTTGATAAACTAGAAGATTACCCTTTAGTATTTCTCATACCTATTTTTTTTATTTAATTTTAATTTGATATAGGAGTTAAGGCTTTGGTTGTTATTAAATTTGATAAACTTAAAGGTTATCCTCTCATCCTGTGATTAAAGCTTTTGCTCTTGTTGTATCCAAAATAAAAGTAGTAATGTCTTAAGTACAGAAGGCCTCGATTTTTGTAAAAAAATTATTTTGAATTTTTTTCCATGGATTTTAAAGGGAAAAACCATAAAGCAGTGTTTCTTGCTGGATGCTTTGGCGGGTGTGCATATGCAGTATGGGTTGGACGTGGGGGGACGGGGGGAGTAAACAAAATTGGTAAGTAAGTGATGTATTTGTATTGAAATCTAAACATAATGGCATTTGTTTTTTTCTTAGAGAGAGACAACCGTTTTCGTATTACCCTTTTTGTTGGTTGGTAGTAAACTGTTTGAGATGAATGATAGTTGTGGTTGGTTTTCAGTGGATGGTGGCTTCTCCTTTGGTGTGTTTCCCTAAGGCGTAATAGGAAGAGGGAAGTGTGGGATTTATTAGTCCATGGCCCAAGTAATTTTGTATGAAATTTTTTTACTTTCCTTTTGCTCTTTTCTTTTCCTAATCTCTTAATGGTTTGCTAAGTATTGATGAATTAGATTATAAGGACACCAACATGGCTTCACGCTTTTTAATTCTTTTATAAGGAAGCTAAAAGCCTCGAGTGGAAAACCTCTCCCCTAATGCTATTGTGGGAACCTTGTCAACAAATTGAAGAAATGATCTGTGCTTGTGTTTAATAAGCATTTATGTACAATTGTAAAACTGTACAATATATTTATTATCAGCAAACATCATGCTATTCCATAACAAATAGTGAAGGCTTCCCCTTTGGGTGAAAGATTGGGGGACTTTAGCCAAAGAATTATTAAGCATGATATGCTCTAAAGGTGAAGGCCGGGATTGGCTATCCCACCTGATGTGGTGAGCCAAGTTCACATGTTTTCCTTCACTGTGATATGGCTTTTTATCTTTGGAGAAGTTTTTTATGGGGTTCAGTGAGGCTTGGGCTAGTCCTTTAATATAAAGGGTTAAACATTCGTTTTGCGAGGTTTGGTGGGGGGGGGGGAGAGGAGAAATAGTTACTATGATGAAATGCTATGATGGCTTATTTGGGTAGAATCTGGCTACAACGGAATTGACGAATCTTTAATGATCAGCTTTGGGACCTTTTTAATTGACGTGGCTGGTATATAGAACCCGACCAGAAGATAGTGAGAGAAACCCAAACCCGATCTGAATCGAACCCGAATTTAACTCGATTTGATCCAAATATTATATATTGTATTAATTTTAAGTTTTACACTATTTTAATTGTTTTTAAGCACAACCCGAAATCGATCCGAGATCTGACATAACCCCGACCTATTAATCGGAATTGCCACCCCTAGTTCTATTTTGTACTCAAATAATCTTAATTTTAAATCTGTTAGTCTAAATTTCAACTCAGATGTTTTAAATTTTAAGTCAGGTGTTCTAAATTATTACTTATTTAGATTTTCTAAATCTTTACTCATATATATATAATTTTGAATCATGTGTCTTAAATTTTTCCTTGTATGTTCTAAATTTTTACTCATATGTTCTAAATTTTAGATCTACGTGTAAGTATGGTGTTCTCACATAGGGACCTAGGTTAAATCCCGTGCAGTTGTTAAATAATTGTAATGAAAATGAATTTATAAAAAAAGGTATAAAATATAATATATCAACTCACCAAGTATTATAATGTATGAATAAAATATATATTAAAATAATTAAAACATGCAAGATAAAATAATTAGGTGGTTATAATAGGCAGTTTGATAATTTAGGAAGTTTACTTTATATTTTATATAAAGTGAAAGTCATAAGTTAGATACAAACCTTCTTTTTCTATAACAATGAATTTTCTTAAGGAAGTGTTTCGGATGGAAATTTTCAATAATACGTTTCCCTACACACACACACACACACACACTTTGATTTAAAGAGGACAAGCTGTATTTTTTAAAATGGTAAAGCATCTCCAGAAATTATGTTAGTGGTGGAAGGGTAAAAATGAAAATCCTATGCTAGAATCTTCTAACTGAACCTGAACTTCTTTGCTTGTGCTCAGGAGTCTCCTACTTGGGGTTCAAATTCATATTATTATTTTCTTATTGGCTTTATGAATGGGTTTATACGCCAATATTTTTTTCCACTTCCTGATTGTGAATCCTATTAGGAAGTACAGTTTAGTTCAGATATATTATCATGTATCTGGAAAAGTATCAAGATAATCATATAGCAAAAGTGAAAAGAAAATTCATTACTGTTAAGCTGTTTTTCTTAAAGTATCATATCTTAAGTTTTCTGTTTGTTTTGAATCTTAACTGTTGTTTTTGCTTAGATTTATTTCAGTGCATGTTTTTGTAACAGGTGGTGTACATCAATGGACGTCCCTTTGTTTTGCGTGATGTTGAAAGGCCTTTCTCGAATCTTGAGTATACGGTATGTTTTTATAGAAGTTGCTCCCACTCGGAAAGCAAGGCCTGACAATATAAGAAAGACACTAAGATAATGTCACTCATATATAAAAAGGGGGCAACGGACAAAAAATATCTCAAGCCCTCAAGCTATCATGAAGTATTTTATCTAAAAGTTCCTGAAATGTCATGTATCACTCAAGCTTAAAATCGACTCCGACTATACAAAAGTCTAAAAAAGGGAACTTGAATCAGTGATGAGGGGAACTGGTTTCTTGCATTTAAAATACACTCTTTCCATTAAATTTAAAATCTGAATACATATATGTCTATTTAGGCAAAGTGGCATAAATTAACACAACAAGAACATGTTGTAATTCTTGTTTTGTTCAGATTGAGGTCAACTTGTCAACTGATCTTATTTCTGCAAAGTTTAGTTAAGATATTAATTTCACTGTCTATCCTATGAACGTTTTTTGCATTCTTTGAATAGAGTAAATTTTATTACTAAATCTCTAATAAATACAAAGGTCAGTCAAAGTTGCCATATTTCCTTGTGTTTTCATAAATTATTTTCCCTTTATCTGCACATTACGTCTGCGGTCTGCCATGTCAAAATTTCTTGCTCCATCTTAGGATAAGCCTATATTATCATGAGATGTGCATTCTTTTTTTTTTTGTGCTTCTTCTATTGAACTTAGAGGCTGAAGATAATTGCTCTTATTACTTAATTATATGGTCGAATGTACTTTTTTGTAGTTGTAATTTTTTTTTGATTCATCGACTATACAAGCTTCTTTTAGATGGAGGAGGAAGATTTTTGTGGATGACTATACGGAACAATCACTTTTGGTTCATGTAGCCGACCCCACTTATGGGATTAAGGCTTTGATTGATTGATTGACTATACAAGCTTCTTTTAACATTTTCCATCTCAAGTTCATGAGTCTATTTTCTTGTATATCTGGATTCCGTAAAATGGCTTACGTACTCATTTCAAATTTTCAACACGACACTGGCACGAGAGTGGGAATCCAGATCAGATTCGGCACTGTACACTTGCCACTTGGACACGATGTTCTACCTGAAGTACCTATGTGAGTCAGGGGAAGAAAAATTCTTCTGTACATAGTAGGAATTGTGATTGTTCTACCAGAATCAAGACTGCTTTTAATTTTATTTATTTTATTAATAAGAAAACAGGGGAAGGGAGAAGTATATTATAAAATGATGGGAAAAGAATGAAAAAGGAGAACAATAGACAGTTAAGTAAGGTTATTATATTTTTTTGATAAACAGAGGATACACCTACGTCAATTTGCCTTCTTCTTTTCATTTAATACTCCAAGTGCTTTCATTTTTTTTTTTGATGCTGTTCCAAGCATGTTCCATCACTCCGTACAAATTTCCCATTTAAATATCAATTTTATGAAAATAAATTTAAATTAGTAATCTTCATGTTTTTTGCAATATTTATAATAGGTTTTTAAAAAAATTAGTATGTTGCTAAATAAAAATATTCATCTCTTCATACCTGTGCACAAATATGGACAAAATCCCTGTGTCCCAACTTTTTAGAAATTTCCGTATTGGACACTCAAATCCTTACCTGAGTCCGATACTCCTACCCAGTCCAGGTAGATGTTGTGCAACTATTGCCAACCTTCTTACTTTATGGAAAGAGAAGCACTCTGGTATAGTTGAAATATATTTGTGTGCTATATCTCTTGCATTTTTATTTTTATTTTGTAAACTTCTTGGTAAAGGATTTGTTGATTGATTTGTTTCAGTTTGGGTATGACCTTCCTAAATTAATTAGGGAATTAACAGGGATAGGGTGGAAGATATGGAATCTCGATTGAAGGAAGACATCTTGCTGGAAGCTGCAAGGTGTCAAAATTGTCTCAATCTCAATTCATTGTAGTCGCTGAATATTAGTGATCTCATTTGTCTGCTTGAGGCAACTTATGGTTTTTTGGTTGTAGGTACGGAAACAAGATCCTTGTTACTGATGAACTGCCGGATGGACAAATGGTGGACCAGTGGGAGCCAGTGACCTGTGATTCTGTGAAGACTCCACTTGAGGTATGTTTGTTGAAAGTTGGGTCCCCGCACTGATACTCTTGTGCCATATATCTGAATAATTTCCTTGGACTAGGTATATGAGGAGCTGAAAATTGAGGGTTATCTTGTTAACTATGAACGAGTTCCTGTTACTGATGAGAAGTCGCCTAAAGAATCAGATTTTGATGTTCTGGTATGTTTGATGTTTACTCCACTCCATGATCTTCTTTATGAAAGTTTACAGGTTCGCTATCTAGGTTTCACTTGTAAGACTGTTCACTTGGCTACACTTACCTTGCCTTAGGCATAAATCCCGAGCATTAGGGTAATAATTTACAACATTGATGTATATGCTCTCATGCTTTCAAAATCAAAATTTTATTCTGAATTTTTTTATGTGATTGGTGAATAGGTGAGTGAAAGTGATGTATATGTTTATGTTCTCACGCTTTCAAAATCAATATTATATCGATAGGGTTGAATATATATAATTAAAAAATGCTAAAACAATTTAATAATCCTGAACCACACCAATGTTTTTTTGTTTGCCATATCATCCTTCATTATTGATTTTGTTTACATCAATATATATTTCACCAATTCACCTTGTATGTATGCATAGCGTCAACAGTTGGTAAAGAAGTACATTTTGTTTGTATTCAAATGCCTTCAATATGGGTGATGCCTTTATTCAGTTTATAATGCTATATTGCTTCCATCTACAATTTCTTTGCCCTCCTTGTGATAAGGATCTGGATGACTCATTGTGTGTGAGTGGTTTGGGATGGAAATTGATAAATAGACATAAGATGCAACAACCTTGAGGTTATCTTCGTGGAGACCACACTAAGATTGTAACAGGTTGAATTCTCCAACATGAAATTATCTCTCTTATTGGTTGAAGCTCATGCTGAACATATTATTTAATATCTATACAATAATATCCATGTATGTCGTGTTCTTTTGTTGGCTTGAGTGCTTTCTTTATTAGCAAATATAAATCTCCTAATGACTTCTAACTTTCTAAGTAGTCTAGTATTCCTATATCTTAGCAGGAAAAAAAAAAGTAAGACCACATTTCTATCACCTTAAGAATTTGAGGATGTCAAAGGCTTAAATATGGAATGTGTGGAGTTTTATCCATATTCATTTATTTTCTCTTTATTCATATCAATTTTCTTAGCCATATCCACTCTTTGCTGGCTGCATGGGTACAACATTACATTAATTAAATATATTCTTGTATATAGAAGACTTCTGCATGAATTATAATGTAGAAAATTATATACACATTTTAGGCTTGAATTGTTAATGTTTTCTAAAATGCTTATTTAAAGCCTAGTTGTGAGAACATATGGTGATATGGGGAATAATTTTCTTTTCCTTCTATTTCAACATCATCTTCTATGTTTGTGTTGTTGAGCGCGAATTTAAGTGTTAGGTAAGGCACGCAGAAGCGAGAGGGGTTCTGCTGCGCCTAGGTGCGCGCCTCTTTGAAGTGAAGCGCAATATATGAACAATTAGAAAAATTTTGGCTGAACACTTTAGCTGTGCCTAACCAAAAAGCTTCGTCCAGACCAAATTAAGTGCCACCTATCGCCTTGCGCCTAGGGTTATTTCAAACACTGTTGATCGAGCAATTTACAAAACTAGGGTTATTTTAAAACGTATTCCCACTTTTGCAACGAAATGAAACTTAATGGCCGAAGTACCACCCACGTAGGATTGGATATGGTTTGTTCATTTTTTTCTTAAGAGCAAAGGCAAAACCTCTACTTGAGATAGCTTATGTAAAATACTCCCTCCGTGATAAAATAAATGTGTCAACTAAAAATAACGGAGTTAGAATTTATTTATTATATTTATAATATGGGGGTGGAAAGTAAAAGAATTTCTATTTAGGAGTGCTATGGGCTTAGCCACTAGTCCATGTAAGAAAACAATGTAACTATTTTGGGGCATAATGATTGTATTTTAAAATCAACTAGCAATGGATTGAGTAGCCCACTAAAGTTCTATGTTAGTTATCATCCATAATCTTCTTCCATGCAGGGCAATTCACATGTGAGTTATTCTTATTACTTCGGACAAGTTAATCGGTTGATAATTTTCCAAAAATCCGCGTGGGCATCTAGAGTGTTGAATTGTTGTAGTTTCGTTTGCTCTTGAAATGAATTAGTCCACTCAAATTCTTGATAAACCTATCTTTTTATGTATTATTCTATTATACCAGTTCATTATATTCTCTCCTTCCCTTTGCTTACTATTAGTCAAAAAAAAAAAAAAAAAAAAATTTTGGATGTAAAAACTTTGAAAAACACATGATACAAGAGCAAGAAATTACTTTCTAACTACTAAAATCTTTCTATATCTTAAATGAAATCTCTTTTTTTTTTTAAAAAATAAAACAATCTTTATAATTATGTAATGGGGATTCATGCCCCTTTTATTTATAAATTTATTTTTTTTAATGCTTTCATTTGTTCCTTTTCTCAGTACCTAATAGGAAGAACAAAAGAATACGGAGGGATCATTACATAGTCAATTAAGAATTCAATTAAATTTGGCTAAATGCCATGTCAACTAAATCAATCAATCAAACCCATAAGTGGGGTAAGCTAGATGAACCAAATTTGATTATTCCGTGTAGTCATCGACAAAAATCTTCCTCCATCCTTTACGATCCAATGCCTCATTCTCATGCAAATCCATATACTTCAAATCCTTCCTAACTCTTTCCGACCAAGTCATTAACGGTCTCCCCCTCCCTTGTTTGACCCCTCCATGGTCCCACTCTTCGTACTGGTGCACCTCGGGTCTCCGTCTTACATGTCCAAACCAACGCAGACGATTTTCCATTAGTTTGTCTGCAATGCTTGCCACACCTATTTTTTTTTGTGAATAACCTCATTTCTGATTCTCTCTTAGAGTGTTCACGCACATCCACCTTAACATAAGGATTTACATTATTCAAACAAACTCCTTTAAGGCTTTAACTATCTTGTATGATTACACTATCATGTGGGGTGTTAGTTCATCTTGTTGTTTTTATGATTACACTATTGCGTGGTCTCTGATGAACATCTTTGACCATGAATAACTCAGGTTGTGTATTAGTGAAATTTGTAAAAAGTTGATATTTGGATTATTTATAATAAGGGGAATTTAATATGATCTCACATGTTAATTTAATTATATTGTATAGCTCATAAAATGTGGTCAAATTTATTTTATTTTGACCACATGAATAGTAAGTGAGTCGAACTTTTAGAAACGGAGGTAGTATATATCAACCTTTTTTAATCGAGTATAAAGATATTAAGGCAAAATTAGCCTTAACATCCTTAACTATAGCATAGGTGACCAGCACCCCGAACTTTAACTAGTAGCTAGCACACTACCAACTATTGATTGGGGAGCAACGTGTGCCATTAAGTACCTTTTAATTACCAAAAATGTCTCATTTTGAGTGCTAAAGATACCCATTAGTGGTGCGCGTTGCACCCCAATCAATAGGTGGTGGTGTGCTAGTCAAAGTTCGGAGTGCTTGGTGCACCCAATCCGAGGCCAATTTTGTAAATATTAGTGGTATTCAATGTGCATTGACATGTGTAAAATTTCAACTTTGTAATTAAAAAAGAACGGAGGAAGTAAGTTTCAATAAGTTTTATCACGGTCTAATAAGTTGATATAAATTACTACCACTACAATTACTACTTTTTTGTAAGTTCTTAACGATTGCCAATATAACCATTGATACTCTAATTATGTATATGTTAAAAATAAAAAAGTTGATATTTCAATAATTCATATTGAGAAAATCTGACAAGAGTTCAAAAGAATCTTTTTGCTTATGTATGAATTAATAACACTCAAATGTAAGTATGTGAATAGTGCCAAAAGTTAAAGTGCCAAGAACAAATCAGAGTTAGTATTAAAACAAAGCAACATAATGGGTTAGTAATTCCCATCATCGTGACAGATTCAACTAAAGCATCAACATGTTTTCGAAATTTACAATGTAGGAGCTATGGATATAAGGATGATAACTTGATAATAATATGCTTGGAGATGGAATCATAGATGATGTTACGAGGAACAACTCAGAGAGAATAGGAAAATAAGTGAAACATAAAAGCATGGGTTTAAATGTGAAGCTGTTAGATTTCAGATTGTACAATGGCATAAAACTAATGAATTGAGAAGAGTAAGGAGATGTCTATACAGGATATTTAATGAAATCTGCCTTTTTGCTGGGTTGGGCTGAGTTAGTTTGTAAACTTGGTGTTTTACTTTCTTTTTTGTAATTTACTTTTAATAGTTATAACTTGTTAATCTGAATAAATTGCATGCTGAAATTTTTATTGTTGCTGTTTCATATAATTTACTTTTGTGTAGTCATTAGTTTGAAATTGCCTTTCAGGTTAATAAAATATCTCAAGTTGACCTTAGTACCGAGGTAATATTTAATTGTCAAATGGGACGTGGGCGAACTACAACAGGGATGGTGATTGCTACCTTAATTTACTTTAACCGAATTGGAGCCTCCGGTAATTGATGCTTCCTTTGACTCATCATGTTTGCTTTACCATATTTTGACATGTTTCAATCCTCTTGACATCAAATTCAAGTTCTAATCTTTAATTTGACATGAACTCAAATTCGTTAGTGGATAGTATCTTTATTGCTGTCTTTTTCCTGGTAAAAAAAAAAAAAGAATAAAGATTTAAATAATTATCGAAATAACTCTGTACGGTTTAAGATCTAGAGAATTTCCCTCATAAATAGATAGATGTGAGTTAAGCCAAGTCATTCTATGAACTTCTTAATGTTAGCTTTTGAATGGTCTACATATAAAGTAACACAGCAAAGTTAGCCTGTCATTGTTTTATCTCATGATGAGGCTACCAATTACCCCTCTCTTTCAAAATAAATCAGTTCCAAAATAAATGTGTCACTTCTATTTTTGTTAACTTTTTACCATTATAATTTTCTTTTAACCATAATTCCCACTTAAAATATTATATTCCATTTTTTTAAGTGAAACATTTTTGCACTATTTACCTAATCCACTTTGACTAATGTTTGTGATTTATTCATAAGAAAAAATATAGTCTTGTGCGTTTTATTGAAATCATCTTAATGAATAGTTTATTAATCTCTGTTTACTTATTGATAATGAAAAATATTATTGGTCAAAGTTTTGCATTAGCGTACATGCTTAGGAGAAATGTTTCACTAATAAAAAGCGAAAGAAGTATCATTTTTTCCTTTCTTATGATCTCCACTTAAATACAGCAGCAACAAAGCCTTAATCTGAAATGATGAGGTCGGCTTATATGAATCATCGTAAGCAAACACCTGCGAAATATTGAACGAAGAAAGAAAAGTGATAAAATAAAAGTGGACAAGATAAGAGAAAAAACATAGTGAGTGAAAAAGATGGCAGTGTAGATATTTACCATAGAGGATAGTCTTTCTGTTTCATAATGATCTTCTCATTGGGAAGAATCTTCTAAATTACACTTAATGTATAAAACATAACATAGTAGTTTTTGATCTTGTTTGATTCTTCTCAATGTTAAGTTTATTAATATTCAATTGTTATACAGTATAATTTATTAATATGCAAATAAAGATATTCATGGTCAAAGTAATGCGTAGGCAAACGTGTACAATCAAAGTGAGAAGATCATTGTGAAACGAAGGGATAAAAGAGATGAAAAGCATGAAAGTAAAACACATAAATAATTTGAGAAAACCTTAACTAAGGAAATAAATAGAGTTTGCAAAACGCAATGATTTTAAGTAAAATAATTAAAGGAAAAAAAGTAAAGATATTAAGTTAACATGTCTTCGGCGTAGATTTTCTCCCTCTACTATTCCTTGTCCAACACCATATTTTCTTCAATCCCCTAAAGACTCGTATCACTCTTAATTATCCTCTTAAGTTTTCTTAGCTCCTCCATATCTCGTCACAATCCCATCACTTTGCCAATTGCCACTAAGTCTTCTTACTCGACTAAACCACGTTAAGAGTTTTCATTGATCTTGTTCTCAATAAATGTTACTTCTACTTCTTCCTAATTATCCCATTCCTCAACCGATCCTTTCTTGTATGGCCACACATAGTACGCTTATACCAATGCTCTAGTGTACTATGTACCATATTTAGGCCTAATTGTCGTGTATTAGAACTTTTCCTTTGATATATGGGTCGCATATACATAAAAGCCTCGTAAGTATCTTCCACTTCGACCAATCCTTTGATTCCATGAGTACCATCCCCATCCAATTCCCCATCCTTTTGAATAATGGATCTAGATATCACAAGAAAGCAGGACCTTTAACAATCATCCCATCTAAGTTGACCACCTTTTTTTAATCTGCTAAACTTACATTCTAAATACTTTGTCTTACTTATGCTCAGCCTAAAGCCTTGAGATTCCAAAGTCCGTCTCCATAATTTTTACTTACTTTTCACAACTTTTTTTGTCTTATTAATCAACACAATATCATCGGCAAATGCAGTGGCGGATCCTGGGTTTTAGTGGGTACAATCTATATTCTAAATAAGTAAATTGATTTATATTAAAAACACGCAGTATAATACGTGCATAATCTCCGTAGCCTAGCGGTCGGAGCTCTAGTTTTTAAATTACTGGTCGCAGGTTTGACCCTGCAGTCCTACACTCCTCGTTTTTTTATTTTTTTTTTACTTTTCTTTTTGACTTTTACTGCCCCAATACCATAATACCTCAATACCAATTACCCAAATCCCAAACTAACCGAAGCAGTAAATGCAACCATTCACCATTTCTCCTACTCACTTTCATATGAAGTGATTTTTGTAGTTTATAATCAAGCAAGTAGTAATTGACCGTTATTTAGTTGAAAAAATATGAACAATAGAATCATGTTACATTAAATTTCACTATTTTAATATATTAAGATAAAAGTAGATCGCTTAGTATATAAGAAAACCGTCGAGTTTCATTTAATTTTAAGATTTTTAGTACAAGAAAACCGTTGAGTTTCATTTAATTTTAAGATTCTTAGAATGAATGGATGATTATGTAATAGATTGTTTTTATAACATGAAAACTTATTGAGTTTCATTATAATTTTTTAACACGTGCGTACCATACTTTTTAGTGATAGTATATATTTTAAATAATGCCTACTTGATTTTACTATACGTGTTCAAGGACTTTAAACCCATAAAAAAGATTTTTGTGGATCTGCCACTGGGCAAACGTCATATGCATTATGGTATATCATCTTGAATTGAATTCGTCGATTGGCTGTGATTATGGCGAAAAGAAAAGGGGAGCCTTGATGTAATCCAATTGTAATAGGTTGTAATGGTTGGACTTGGCCTCGTCGACACGACGACCCGGGTGTAAACGCGAAATCCAAGTCGGACCCTTTGAAAAGAAAGTGGACTAAAGTATAGGGGAGTTAACCCCTAGCTAAGAAATAGAATGTGGGATTCACCAAAACATTAGTTGAAACCTTAGGGGAGTTAACATAAATGGACTCAAACAGGTTACCTCCCATAATTACCTTGTATAACCGGTAAAACTAAGTTTGGTAATTTTCCATATTCATATTCATCTCCTTCAATTCAAATTGTTCACCATTTTCTCTCTCCTTGGCAAGGTAATGCCCTTTTCTCTCTAAAAGTTCAATCATACACATCATTTTTTATTTCACTTTCCCTTTTTATCTCTTTATTTTTCGATCTTTTTTATTTTTTTGGCTGTTGTTGTTGGTTTATGGGTAATTATGTATAAGGGGTTCTTCTTTAATTTGACTCTTTTTGGTTGTTAAATTTCAATTGAATTTGAAATTGTCCTTTTTTTTTTTTTTGTTGGGTATTTTAAGCAAATCTTTAATTGGATTTTTTCTGTTTCGAAAACCTCCCATTTCCTGTAATTAATTTTTGCGGATTCTAAGGTGAAATTTCTAGCATAGTATTTTGATTTTTTTTTTTATTTTTTATTAAATTTTGGAGTTATTTCCCTTAATTCAATATGAACTTTGGGAATTTTATTCATGGAAGGCAACTTCACCAACGTGGTTTAGTGGTGATGACCAGTTGATTCCCTTTCAATTTTATGTATTATATTTTTCAATTTTTTTTTGCTTCTTTTCATTCCAAAGGTTTGCATTTTTATAAAATTATTATTTAATTAATTATTGGCATACAATCTTTGATCAATTAGTTGATAATAATGAATTTCAATTATTTGTTATTGATTCATTTGTATGTTGTTTATTCATTTCTATGATCAACTTAGGGTTTTTTTTTCCTTTTTTTTTTTAAATGCTTTTTTAGCTGAAGAAATAATGAGTGAAGCTGGGAAGTAACGAAATTATGGCTTTTTCTTGTTTTGAGGTGGTTCTGTCACTTAGAAAACAATTTTTATTTTATTTTTTTTTTCTTAAATTGTAGGAAACCGGTTTTAAGAGGTCACCACCGGAAATATTTGTGACCTTAGTAGTACCCTATTTGCTACTTCTCAAACTTCAGTACCTGATTTGCAACTTCTTTGAAAGTTCAGTACCCTCTATTAATGTTTACTCAATAAGGAGTTGTCGGTTTTTTTAATTTGGCATTGGGAATCTGGCAATGGGAGGCTGGGTTCTTCAATATTTCTCCATTTTCAATTGTGCACGTTTACATTTTTTTTTAAGTGGGTGGGGATATTTGGACAAAGAAACACAAATATTTATGTGGGGTGGGGGTAGGTGGAGGACCTCACGTTATTCTCTTCACTTAATTTAAATTTGATGTAAACATTTAATGACTTTCTTTGACCTTTTCTACTTTATTTACTATTTGACTTAAATACTTGACAACTTAAATTCTCTTTTAAAAAAATTAAAAATAAGCAATTTAACTACAGATTCTTAAGTCTGCTTTTACACATTACTGAGTCCATGCGTTCAGATCCAAAGTTTGGACTCTTTAAAAACGTGTCCCCGTATCCTTAATTTTATAATTTCTCGAGTCCGACACTTAGACCCATACCCAAATCCCACACTCGCACCTAGGCAATAAGGACTCCTCTGGTTGCTCGGTCATGCTAACTCCATCATACGTGTCCTTAATGTTTTCAATAATTATTTGCGACATGCCTTTCTGTATAATAGACCTTTTTCAAATCAGCACCACCATATGTAAATCTTTCTTCATCTCTTTGTTTGATCACTCGTTCCCATAGTTTCATAGTATTACTTAGTTGTTTGATTACTTGACCCAGTCTTGGACGTTGCATTTGTTCTCTAAATTTTATTGAAAAATGTTGTTAACTATTCAATTCTTGTTTTTCTTTTAAACATCTCCAAACTTAATAGGAAAGGCTCAACCTTTTTTTATTGATCCAATCTTTTTCAATGCCATTTTGAATTCTTCACATAAACACCTAAGTAACCATATTGTAAGGGATATATATATCCCCTAACATCTTGGATATTCATTAAAGTACTCCGGTAAGACCTCCATCTGTCCTTTATATCCTAGTCTCTAACAAAAAATTTTAGGTCGACATCCTTGAACTTTTCAATTTCATGCGTCTTCATATCTCTCATGTGAGCATGTCTATAAATGCCTTTTTCCCTTTCTTTCGTATCCTAACTTGCTTAAGGGTCTCTATTTACCTTCACTTTTGCATCTAGTAGAACCTTCTTTGCTTCCCTTCTAGCTTTTTTTTTTTTTTTTTTAATACCTTTCATAATTCTCGTATATATATATATATATATATATATATATATATATATATATATATATATATATATAAGATCCTCACATTCTCTCTTTCATGGTCCTCATTGTCCATTTACTAGAATAAAGAAATCACGCATACCCCACCTGTACAATATAATTTTATTACAAATAAACTTTCCTAAACACAGTGGAGCAATGTTTCGTAAATCAGTGATGAACTACTCATTTAGTTTATAACACTAAGTCTGTTTTTTGCTAGCTTTTTCCTAGGGGCTACAAGGTAATCGACTCTCTTACTTGATGAGCGGCTCCTTACAGCGGCTTGCAATGGGAAAAAAAAAAAAAATCCCTTCTAAAAAATAATTTTCTCAGTTGGGGTGGGACCTTTTCATTTACTGTTGCCAAGCAAAGAAATAGGTTAAGGGAGAGATATTGTCTTCCAAATGTCATTATTAAAGCATAAGACATGGTATTAGCTGTGTAATGCTAAGAGGAAGGCAATCAGAATATGCAATGCAGTGGACAAGGGGAGCTTCCAGACTGTTGTGTGTTGGTGCATTTTATCTTTAACAAAATGTCGCACCAAGCTTAACAAGAACTAAAGTTCAAGAAATTGCACTTACTCCTGCAGCAACATCGCCATATCATGTGCATAGTCCAGCGGCTTATGACCCATCACACATAGACCCACCCGGATTCTTTAGGTCCCTAGTACCATATTGGTATCGATCCTATCAGACCCAACTCGATAATTTCTCTGTTTCTTTTATTTGCAACATTTTGACTTTCATATTTTGTCAATGCACTACTTTGTTCATTAATTTCTTTGATCATGTATTAATTTATAAAAAGTTTATATTTTGAAGATACATACTTTGGGGTTAATCTAACAATCTGTTACAAATTAACATTTACCATTATATATTAGTGTTAAAATAGGGTTAATAGGGTGTATGGATTTGTGAACACTTCAAAACATTGCTATATTAAGACAATGGAGGAAGTATTAACCTATCTGACATTGAGTACAACCAAATTTGACTGAGCACAAATCCAACTCAATCTTGAATCATATATCTAGATACTGTTCTGAAACCAAACCAATTACTAAGGAATTATCTGTCCTTACTTAGCTGATGTCAGACATGGCTTTCTTAAGTGTGTGTTCACAATTATGAATACAATTTTGTAACTAAAATTTTCGGGTTTTGACCTTTTGTGTTCAGCAGGCATTCCTAGGAGCAACTCAATTGGAAGAGTCTCTGATCTGAGCTGTAATGCTGACAATTTGCTTAGTTCGGAGGAGGCAATCCGCAGGGGAGAGTACACTGTCATTAGAAGTCTGATTCGTGTTTTAGAGGTACTGCCATATTTGATTCTATACGTCATTAATATTCTTCAGGTTTCTCCGTACTGACTCTTGGTCATCTTATTATTAAATGGTGTACTCAGGGTGGTGTCGAAGGAAAAAGGCAGGTGGATAAAGTGATTGATAAGTGTGCTTCTATGCAGGTATTGTTCGAAACTGCTTTAAATCTTGTCATTTGATTAAATTACTATCTTTAGAGCTTGTGCCTAGTATTCCTCCAAGTACTGGTTGTTGCATTGAATAATGTCCATTGAACAATTCAGGCTTGATTGTTGTTTTTTAAATCACTTGAAAGATAAACTGATAATGTCGAAGTTTAGTCATCCAAATCATTTTATAGCTGTATGAAAGTGGAAATATTCCATACATAGTCGGAAACCACAATTGTTGATGTTACATCAATAAGGTACCGCTTTTGCAACTCTGGAACCGTAATTATGGCCGATACGCAAATCTTTTCTTTTGCTACAAATTTAGATATCTTCTTCCAATATGTTTATAGATCAAACTAGATTTTTTTCCCCCTTAGCTCATTAAGTATTTAGCTGGAGAAGATAAACGTCCTCCGTTCCACAAATATTGCAACAATTACCATTTTAGGAAGTTTCACAAATATTGCAATATTTCCCTATTTGCACATGTTTTCTCTCTTTCTCCCTCCTCATCACATGGGTCCCTATCTTTATTCCCCTCTCTCTCCTCTTCTTAAAATCCGTGTCTTACCCCCATGTTGCAATATTTTGGGAACGGAGGAAGTATATAATTAAGACATCAAGGGAGTGTTAGCCATATATAAAAAAGGGATGGACCATCAACAGCTCAATTCTCGCTTGTAAGGGTTGCTTCACTTGCTTGTGCTCACTTGGTTGGTTATGAATAACTTATCAATGTCCTCACATCTACAAATCATGCTTGATTTTTTCGACATAACCAAGATAAAGCTAGTTTTGCTAGTATCAATAGAGGATCTATAACATGGTAGTTGTACATTTGTACAAGGTATCAAGAGATTACATGGTAATTGTGCCTTTGTACAAGGATGATTCGTGTAATCTCTGATTACTGATTACATCTATACACCTATACTACATCAAAGAAAGTGAAAAATGAGATTCAGAAGAGGTGAAGTTTTGTTCTAAACTGCATGTTGCTTCCATATGTTGCACCGAGTGCCATGTTACGCAAGGGAACCAACTTTGACACCTCTGGGCAACACACCTATCTCCATTTCTCTTTTCCAAGTCTTCAGTAGTCAATCAGCTAGTACTTTGCTGAATCCAAACATTAAGTTCTAGATGAAGCTCATTGAGGTGATCAACAGGTCACAACTCTGTTATAGAAACTTTGCGCCTAGATTATTTATTTATTTTTTATTTATTTTTATTTATTTTTTAATAAAAACTATGCTTCTTTGAGCAGAATTTTTATTAATGAGTTTCCAAACATACTTGGGATATTTCTATTCAGAACTGCGGCTTATATTTCATGGCTTGGAGAAATCCCGTAATTTGATTGCTTGTTTATTAAAGCTTGTTCCTTCCAGGATTGGGAGTATAGTCTGCACTAGGAAGTAAATAACTATATGGAATTTGGAGAAAAACTTCTCTAATACTCTTATTGATTCAGTTGTTTTTGTTATACTGATAGCGTTAGACCGTAAGATTTTTTTTTTTCTGAGCTGCCTTATATGTATGGATACACTGCTTGTTGCCATGTCCTTGTATAATGCTATGTTATTTCTAAAAAAAAGGTTCTAACCTAAGACGCTTGATTATGACATTATGCAGAATTTACGAGAAGCTATTGCTACATACCGTAGCAGTATTTTACACCAACCAGATGAGATGAAGCGAGAGGCTTCACTATCTTTTTTTGTGGAGTACCTGGAGAGATATTATTTTCTGATTTGTTTTGCTGTATATCTTCACACCGAGGGAGCAGCTTTGACTCCCTGTTCATCAGTTCTGTGTAGTTTTGCTGATTGGATGAGAGCACGACCGGAACTCTATAGCATACTGCGTAGGTACTTATAGTAATGAAAACATAAAAAAATAAATTATGCATGATATTCATACATTGTTTACATGTTTCGATTCTCTCTTGTTGTATTGTGCTCCTTCTAACAAACCTTATATATAGGCTATTAAGGAGAGATCCAATGGGCGCGCTAGGCTACCGCAATGCAGAGAAATCACTTACTAAGACAGCTGAATCTACAAATGGACGTCCTTATGAAATGAGTGTTGTTACTGCACTGAGGAATGGAGCCGTGTTGGGCAGTCAAACTGTCTTGAAGAGTGATCATTGCCCTGGTTGTCAAAATTTGAGCTTGCCAGAGAGGATAGAAGGTGCCCCAAATTTCAGAGAGGTTATGGGATTTTCAGTTTATGGCGTGGCTAATCCAACAATTGATGGCATTCGGTCGGTTATTCAGCGCATTGCTAGTCTGAGAGCTGCCCGTCCAGTATGTTGGCACAACATGAGAGAGGAACCTGTAATTTACATTAATGGAAAGCCATTTGTGCTTCGTGAAGTTGAAAGACCTTATAAGAACATGATGGAGTACACTGTACGTGCATAAAGCTTTCTGCAAATTTTTGCTTTTAAGTATATGCCCATCTGCTGCTTCACATCTTTGGAGATATTAATAAACTTAACATGAAAATAACTAGATACGGATGAGAAGCCAATGTGGATTGGAAAGCAATCCATAGTTCTTTTTTTTTTTTTTTTTTTTTTCCATATATTCTCAACAGATGTATTGCTGCAACTTTTTGAATTGTTATATTTTAAAAAAGAAGTATCTAATTTCATCACTGAAGGTTCACATTTGGGGTACACCTGCAAGTTAGTGCTGAAACCTGCTTTTACTAAATTAAATATACTAAGGCTGGATTAGTCTAGTCATACCTGTGTAGTATCTGGTCCCGTCATGTCGTTTTGTTAATCATAATTGTGATACCAATTATCTTTCATATTTTGGCTTAGGGAATTGATTGTGAGAGAGTAGAAAGAATGGAAGCTCGACTAAAGGAAGATATTCTGCGTGAATCTGAGCGCTTCGGAGGAGCTATTATGGTTATCCATGAAACAGATGATGGTCAAATATTTGATGCCTGGGAACATGTCAATTGTGACTCAATTCAGACACCACATGAAGTTTTCAGCTGCCTAGAAGCTGAAGGGTATCCAATTATGTATGCACGTGTACCTATAACTGATGGAAAGGCTCCAAAAAGTTCTGATTTTGATACACTAGCAAAAAATGTTGCCTCAGCTTCAAAGGACACTGCTTTTGTTTTTAATTGTCAGGTAAAATGTTTAAATTGTTGATGCAAGCTGTCATTTACAATGTAGTGGATTGTTAAAGTGGTTGAATGGCTTTCTGATGTTTGTGCAGATGGGCAGGGGAAGGACAACAACTGGTACTGTTATAGCCTGCCTTCTCAAACTAAGAATAGAGTATGGTAAACCTATAAGAATTCTCCGTGAGGAGTATATTGGGGAAGTGGATGATTATTCTTCGTGTGGTGAAGAAACTATGGATGATTTAGCTGCATCTAGCTCAAGTATCATTGATCATGGTACAGCTAGAAAGCCACCTCGGACTTTTGGCATTAATGATATTTTGTTACTGTGGAAGATAACAAGATTATTTGATAACGGAGTTGAATGTCGGGAGGCATTAGATGCTGTTATTGATAGATGTTCGGCTTTGCAGAATATACGTGATGCTGTCCTACGATACCGGGAATTATTTAATCAACAGCGTGTTGAGCCCCGGGTGAGAAGGGTTGCCTTAAATCGTGGCGCTGAGTACCTGGAGCGCTACTTCCGTTTGATTGCTTTTTCTGCATATCTTGGAAGTGAAGCGTTTGATGGGTTTTGTGGCCAAGGAGAATCCAAGACAACTTTTAAGAGTTGGTTACAAAAAAGACCTGAAGTCCAAGCGATGAAATGGAGCATAAGATTGAGGCCAGGGCGATTCTTTACTGTTCCAGTAATATTTCTTTTTCTTGTTATGAAGTATAATAATTTCTTAGAGATGGAAATAAATGAATACTAAAAATAACTTGTGTTATTTTTTTTTATATATATCAATAAGCTGTCAAGAATGTATGTTGTCCATTTCTTCCTTATTTTGGGTATGCCAATAGTTTGTCCTTTTCTGATGTAGGAAGATCTGCGATCTCCCTATGAAACTCAGCATGGAGATGCAGTAATGGAAGCGGTTATTAAGGCTCGAAATGGCTCTGTTCTAGGGAGGGGTTCTATACTTAAAATGTACTTCTTTCCTGGTCAGAGAACATCTAGTAACATACAAATACATGGGGCACCTCACGTTTACAAGGTATGCTGGTTTGCTATCTTTTCTTTCTATATACCTATTCTTTGTTTGTTTGTTTATATGCGTTATTTATTTATTTATTTATATTTTTTTAACAAAAACTTTGTTAGAAAATTTAACTATTTAGGAGTGATAGGAATTGTACAGGGTGAAAGCAAGAAATGACTTGAAATCAACTCATGTATCAATTTTCACTTTCTTAGGTGGATGGATACCCTGTCTATAGCATGGCCACTCCGACTATCACTGGTGCGAAAGAGATGTTATCTTTCTTGGCTGCTAATGGATCTGTAGATGGCAGAAATAAGTTAGTAATAACTGATTTGAGAGAGGAAGCTGTGGTTTACATTAATGGGTCACCTTTTGTTCTCCGTGAACTGAACAAAGCAGTTGATACTCTGAAACATGTGGGGATTACTGGTCCAGTGGTTTGTTCTTACTACCTTAAATATCATTAACAACAGATGAAGCCATAAGGAAAAGAAAATTTAAACTTATAGCTCTCCCTCTTCTGTTAAATTTGAAGGTGGAACATATGGAGGCACGTCTAAAAGAAGATATAATATCAGAGGTTGCTCGGACTGGTGGACGAATGCTTTTGCATCGAGAAGAATACAGTCCAACACTAAATCAGTCTAGTATTGTTGGATACTGGGAGAATATTTTCACAGAAGATGTCAAGACTCCCGCTGAAGTTTATGCTGCTCTGAGGGATGAAGGCTATGATATAGCCTACAGGAGAATACCTTTAACAAGAGAGAGAGAAGCTTTGTCATCTGATGTTGATGCAATACTGTGCTGTAAAGATGAGTAAGTAACCAGTTCTGTTGTTTATCTTGTTGTCACAAATGTTAGCAATAGAGTCAAGCGCTTATTGGACATTGTACATTATTGGGCGATATAGCTGATATGATACCTTTATTTCTTAAAAACTTATTTAGTTCTAGATGCTAAAGTAGAAAGCATTTAATTTGCAGGTCTGCTGGATCCTATTTATTTGTGTCACATACAGGATTTGGAGGAGTGGCTTATGCAATGGCAATCATATGTGTAAGACTACAAGCTGAGGGAAATGTGCACCATAATGTGCCCTCATTCGATGTCACACTGCCTCCGCAATCTGTACCCGATGTCCTATCATGTTGGGCTTCTGATGAAGCAGCACTCAAACTGGGTGATTATCGGGATATTCTCAGCCTAACAAGAGTTCTCGCTCAAGGGCCAAGGAGCAAGGCAGATGTCGACAATATCATAGAAAGGTAAGAATCTATTTAAGTGAGTGTAGATGGAGCTTTATTATGCATGGAAACTCTCTTGGAGTTTACATTTCTCATTTTGGAAATTTGGACTTTAAATATTTCCTGGGGAAACCCTCTGTTTTAAATAACCACCTCATGGATATTTAAGTAAAAAAAAATGATATTTTACTTTTCATCGTTTCAATTAAGTCAAAACTATAATAGTTTCTTTACCTATTAATTATGCTCATCAAACACAAGAATTTTATTATTCTTACCAATATGATTGGTTTACTGTTCAAAATTTTGCGTTTTCTTTTTCCTAGTTTCAATTTCTGTGTTCATAGGTTACTGCTGCACTTTTAACCGGATGTCTTTCCTTTTTTTTTTTTTAATGATCTTCTTACATAATTCTTAGAGAGTGTTGCAGTTTCTGCGTTAACCGTCTTTTGTACATGGGTCAGGGCCACACATTGTATGTGTCATATTGCTACTAGTCTTGTATCCTCATCCCACCTCCAAGATTAAATCTAATGACAAAAGAAAGAGAAAGGAAATCTCAAGATCAAAGCCATTGGAAGCGTTATAAATTAATAATGATTCCTGCTAGAGACGTATGCTTGTTGATTCAGCTAACAAAGTGTATCATCTTCTCTTCACCTACCCCAAAGGCCCTAGACAGCAAGAAATCTCTGAAGCCTCTCCAATATCCTAAGTTCCTAACTACACTTACCAAAAATTAAAAAGAGAAACTACAGCTGAACCTTAGAAAGATAAGTGTGAATAATATGACCTCTTGCCCCCTCCCTTGTAAAATAGGCCGAAATTGTGCTTTATTGTCTATCTAGCTTCCTACACCCTTGGCAAAACTACTGCACTTCAATCAACAAGAAACCTAGCAACCCCTAACTTTACTTAGATAGAGAAGCACAATCAATTTTACTAAGAGTTTATCTTTTTCATGGCTACCAGATTGTGGGGATGAAATGGACTTGTTTTCCGTGTGTCATGGTGATTTCGAAGGGGTTTGTAGGTATTACTTTGGATGATTTGGTTAGTAAATGGAGAGACATGCTAGAATTTTATAACTAATTTTTTAGTCACAAATCCTTTGGACTTTAGTCCATTTGTATTACATTTTAAAATGGTCTTGAAACTAAGGCAGCCAGGTTGATTATTGAAACTCCAACCATGCCATAATAGTTTTGACACCAATCATGCCACATTCATAGCCTCATAGGTGATATGATGTGTATTTTTCAATTATTTTTAAATTGAAATGGTACATATGGTAGAAGATGGTGGGTTTTTTTTTATTTATTGAAAAAATGTACTTCAGTACTTCCTCCTCCATTCTAAGTTCTACTCGTTTTCCGTTTACATTCAATTTGCTAAGTTCAACTCACTTTTACTTTATTCCTCTTATGACAACTTTTTTTTTTAATTTTTCATCATATACAACTCCACTTTGCGAGGCCCAAATTTATCTAGTGAAACCCATACTCTTTATCTCTCTCCTCTTTAATGCAAAAGTACCCACATGCATGGTCCCCTTTTCCTATTTTTCTAGTTTTGCATAGCTACAAGAAAATGGACGGAGTAGATGATAGGTAATTGTAGTTTATAACTTTAGGGTAGATGAAATTAGCTTGGGACAAATGGGATGAGTCAATAATATGAATCACATAAATTTAATAGAAATTTGATTGGAAATAAGTTTGGCTTTTTTTTAGGACAATATGATATTTGCAATGTTTGATGACATTTCATACTACAGTCTTGCTCTCTTCACCTAAATTTACATTTACGGATAAAAAATTAATTTACTTTTACTGATATAAATTATTTTTGCTGATTTAACTTAATTGAATTACTTAATACAATAAACTCTCACTTATTTATTGATTTTTACTGATTCAAAATTCTATTTACTGATTAAAATTGAATTTTACTTAATAATGTATTTGTTAAGTTGTTGAGGGCAGACCGATTGCATTATTGCCATTTGAGGTGTTTGATACCTAACTTATGGGTTTGCCAATTTTCAGAGATATATTTGTTGTCTTGGCTTAATTAATATTTTGCTCCAATCTCCCCCTCCCTTCCATGCCCTTGGAATTCTGGTTATCATGTGCACTGTAAGAAACTTATTAAGCCATTAAGTTATTGAAATGCCATTGTTTTTACTTGATTTGTCATGTTAAAAGTTTTGTTTGCTCTATCTTTAAAGATGTGCCGGGGCAGGACATATACGTGATGATATTGTTTACTACACTAAGGAACTGAAGCAAGTCTGTGATGGCAATGAGGAGCATCAGGCATACCTAATTGACATGGGTGTAAAGGCATTAAGGTTTGTCAAATCGCTTTATAACACTTCAGTTTTGTGTGTGTGTGTGTGTGTGTGTGTTTTAAAACAAAGACCTTTATTAGGATGTCTACAAGACTACAAGGGAAATTGAATCAATAAGCCTTGTCCCTTAACCCTCTAGGTGTTATACTATTATTATACTCTTGGTGGAAGAAGAGCAATGTGAAGGTAAACTATAGGAGTGAATAAATAATATGCTACGTCTGTTTCAGAATAATTAACACAATTTGACTCTTTGCACTATTCGCATTCTTACTTTAAACATATTTTGTTACTAATATATGATAAAACAAATTTTACCATATAAATGTTGTTAAGTTAGTGTCAATGTATATTAAGCTATCGATTCTTTTTTTTTTTTACTTATTATAATACCTTCGTATATTTAGGGATATTGATGGTCAAATTTTTGTGCTGGCAAGTGTGCCCGATCTACTGTGTCAATAATTTAGTCACAGATTCAGTATCAAAAATTGGGTTTTTATTGTGTTATTTATTGATCCATTGAGAAACAAATTAATACGTTATCTAGTTTAGCTCTACTTCAATGATAAACAACATTCTCTGACTAGACATTGTTGGTATTCACTTCGCACAATTTTTTTATTTATTTTTTAATTTTTATTAGAATCAAATCATTTTTAAAATACAAAGTTTGATCGGTTTTACCGAGAAGGTCTACGGTTCGAGTCCATATAGCCCTGCGCATGTAAACGAGGTGCTCTACCTAGCTGAGCTATAGCCCTTGTGTTTATGCTCCATATTTTAGTATGTAGATAATTTCTTTTCAAGAGAAATATTCTACGATATACCATCATAGCTCTTTGATCCGTTTGATTTCATATAATATAATACTTCGTATATTCCCCACTTATGAGATTAAGGTTTTGATTGATTGATTGATATAACACTTTGAATATGAACTGCTGAAAATTGAGTACAAAGAGGACACGCTGTCCTTATGAATCAGCAATATAAATTACAGATTATGCCAGTTTCTTCTCTCCATTTGAAAGATTGCTCCCTTAACTAGCTGTTCATCTTACAGATACAATCTCCACTGTTCATTTAATGACTTTGTTTTTTCATCCAATCTCTACTTTGTGTTCATGCATGGCTGATTTTTCAGAAAGTGTTAAGAAAATTGCAATTTGAACAGTTTTGCTTTAAGAACAAACTAAGCACTCTTCCATAATCTTGCTCCCATTTTTCTTCTGTAATTTTGATATTCCCTCGTGATATCTTTATTCTTTTTTTTTGGTCTAAATTTCTTAATAATATTAAATTTCTAATTTTTTTTTTTTTTATATATAAAATGACATGAAGGGTCCAAACTAAACCCATCTTTTTTTCGAATATTCGTATCATTCGTCTCAAGTCTCAACTTTGTGAATGTTTTTCCAAAATGCTCTCATTGCCTACATTAACTTGTTAAGCAACTTAAAGTGCCATGTGGCACATCCTCATTAGTCCTCTCTTCTTTTCTTAAAAATTTCAAAAGTACTCCATTTTTTCTCTCTTCTCACTCTGGTGAATCACTCCTCACCTGGCCTGTCTTCAGGCCCCCTCTCCCTTCCCCGCCACTATTATGACCACTAATTGACGGTGAAACTCCAATCCCTTTGCCCGACTGTCCTGCACCCCTTACTTCTACCTGCAGTCTTCTTGGAGTTCCCATAACCATCACCGTCAACACCAGACACCAAAAAAAAAAAAAAAAACCTAAAAAATCTGCCCAGAACAGAGGATTTTTTTCAATGACGTTACATATCTAGTCTTACAAGAAGAATTGACTCACTCACTCACCTGTAACACTTTGATAAGAATAAATAGATGTCAACCATAAGCCCATATTGGCATTAGAGGCAATAGCAGTGGAAACATCAAATTCGGCTATTGAAGACATTTACCCAGCATCAACTAGCAACCAAAGTCTCTTAAATCTTGTTTGTGGTTTTTTACGTTTTATATGATGGGATACCATGATGTGGTTGGATCAATATTAATCCACCTTTGCATCAAAAATTAATTCCACTTCATAATACTATCACATGCCTCTCAAAATCAAGACTTGTTATTTTTTAACAGAGCATGAATGTAGGAGGCGTATTTATGTGCAAGTGGCTGATGATGGGAATTTGTTTAGGGTTGTCTATGTGCTTCCGGAGGGGTAAGGGGGAGAAGAGAGAGTGGGATGGGGTAGAGGATGGTGTTAATGCTGTGAGCTTGTGGTCTATGAAGAAAAAGGTAATAGAGGAATTGATTATGGAAAAAATATAAAAGGGAGCCAGCCGATTACATGATGCCACATGATTATGTTGATCTTATTAAAGGAAGGCCCCACTGGATTTGGGACACTTGGGACTTTTCCTATTAATCAAAAGCTAGGGCTATTTAAAGGAGGTTAAGCATAGTTTGGGATCTTGTCAATTTGTCCTTGCAAACAAAGATGATTAAAGGTTACTTAATGAGATGGTGATAGTTGGGATTGCATCATTGATGAATGTTTAATGATAAAAATTTGAGACGTATGTGGCTCATGACATGGAGAAATTTGCAGTAAGATGGGGCACAAATATGGACATTTAGTTGTCTTGTACTTTGCTCCAATATTAGCATATAGGTTGTACGAAAAATCCGAGATATAATGCTCTTCATGTTCCTTATACCAGCCATGTCTGCTATAATGTGACTCGTTTCCCTTGGTAAAAGTCTAATTAATTTTCTGCTATTTATCTTTGTAAATTTGGATTCCTCCATTGGATCATGCTTCTATAATTTCTTCTATCGTTTCCTTTGATCTGTTTCTATTATGCTTTTATATAATATATATATATATATATATATATATATATATATATATATATATATATATATATATATATATATATATATATATATATATGTTCTAAATCCGGTGAGAATATATATTTTTCAGTAATCATGTCGAGGACGATTTTATTTTTTTCCATTTTTTTTTGTTTACTTTATTTTAATTCACTTGAATAATTTGTGTTTTTCAAGCTTTACTTATTTCATTTGTTAATGTTTTCTCAAACCTTTATGTTTTTCCTCTCTTTTTATATCCCCTTACCGCTCTTATTAAACTCTTGTAAAACTGAAACTGTTTTTCACTCTATACCCTTTTTTTAACTTTTATTTTATTCAATCAATTATTTTGCTATCTTTTACTTTTTCGGATGGTTTCTTATGACGATTCATTTTAGCCAATTTCAAATCATTTTGGGACTAAGACTTTGTTGTTGCTGCTGCTGCTGCTACACTACAAGATCTTTCTCTTATAACTTCAGAATAATTTTCCTAATTCAATTTGCAGGAGGTATTTTTTTCTGATAACATTCAGGTCGTACCTTTATTGTGTTAATGGAGCTGAGACTACATTCTCGAGTTGGATGGATTCTCGACCTGAACTGGGCTATCTATGTGATCACCTTAGAATTGATAAATAATTTCAAAACAATAACAATATTCTTTTATATAAAGTTATTTCCTCCATGTGAATAGATTGTACAAAGTTATTTTGTCATGTATTTCTTGCATTTATTTGCCGGAAAAATTTACATTGGTCTTGTTGACAAGGTTACGATCCAATCTAATAAAAATGTAATGTTCTTTTTTCGGATGTCA